GAGTGACTGAACTGAACAGAGTTCCCTAATCAGGGATGAAACCCAGCAGTGAGAGCACCAAGTCTTAATCACTGGACCACCAGGGAATTCCCCTCTTTAAATTTTTATTATAGCTTATTCTTTTCTGTGGTCCCTTTTCTTCTATTTACAAGAATCCAGGTCTCTTAAAAAAAAATTCTTCACTGACTTCTTTGACTTTGTAACCTCTTTAAGACTATCATCTTGTTTTTCTTAATTCTGATACTTTCAAGAGTAGCTTTGTGGTTTATCACCTGTACTTTCTCACCACTCACTCAATTCTTCACTTAGTGATTTCCACCTCAGCATTTTGCAGAAATTGCCCTATCAGAAGTTACAGTGGCCTCCTAATTACCAATACACACATTTACCAGCTTTTATCCCATCTGATCTTTTTATGACCAACTTCCAGTCCCCTTGTTTGAGTGAGACACTGTGTTTTTCTCTGGTTTATGTGAGATCCTTTCAGCTCATCTCTGTAATATAGACATTTTTTAAAGGTTTTTTACTTTTGTTCTCTTGTTTTTTCACTCTGTATGTTACCTATGACCCCTGTAGTACAATTTCATATCTATCGCTAGTCCTCACACAACTCTGTCTCAGAACTGCGTTTCCCACAATCTGATAGGCATCTCCCTAGATTTCTGGCTAGAATTCTAAAGCTAACTTTCAGAATCATAATTCACTGTTACATTTCTCCCATCAGGAGCTGTAGACTCCCTCCCTCCCCCACATCCCTCTACCTCCATAGCTCCTAAAACACAGCAACCACTTTTTATGCCCACCCTGTCTTTACATTTGATATTGGTGTTCCACTTGTATGCAGGACAGGAAGCAACAGTTAGAACTGGACATGGAACAACAGACTGGTTCCAAATAGGAAAAGGAGTACATCAAGGCTGTATATTGTCACCATGCTTATTTAACTTATATGCAGAGTACATCATGAGAAATGCTGGGCTGGAAGAAGCACAAGCTGAAATCAAGATTGCCGGGAGAAATATCAATAACCTCAGATATGCAGATGACACCACCCTTATGGCAGAAAGTGAAGAGGAACTAAAAAGCCTCTTGATGAAAGTGAAGAAGGAGAGTGAAAAAGGTGGCTTGAAGCTCAACATTCAGAAAACTAAGATCATGGCATCTGGTCCCATCACCTCATGGGAAATAGATGGGGAGACAGTGGAAACAGTGTCAGACTTCATTTTTTTGGGCTCTAAAATCACTGCAGATGGTGATTGCAGCCATGAAATTAAAAGACGCTTACTCCTTGGAAGGAAAGTTATGACCAACCTAGATAGCATATTAAAAAGCAGAGACATTACTTTGCCAACAAAGGTCTGTCTAGTCATGGCTATGGTTTTTCCAGTAGTCATGTATGGATGTGAGAGTTGGACTATAAGGAAAACTGAGTGCCGAAGAATTGATGCTTTTGAACTGTGGTGTTGGAGAAGCCTCTTGAGAGTCCCTTGGACTGCAAGGAGATCCAACCAGTCCATCCTAAAGGAAAGCAGGCCTGGCTGTTCATTGGAAGGACTGATGCTGAAGCTGAAACTCCAATACTTTGGCCACCTCATGCGAAGAGCTGACTCACTGGAAAAGACCCTAATGTTGGGAAGGATTGGGGGCAGGAGAAGGGGACGACAGAGGATGAGATGGCTGGATGGCATCACTGACTCGATGAACATGGGTTTGGGTGAACTCTGGGAGTTGGTGATGGACAGGGAGACCTGGCATGCTGCGATTCATGGGGTTGCAAAGAGTCGGACAAGACTGAGCAACTGAACTGAACTGAATCTCTTAGTTATTCTGTTTTCTGGAATCAATTTCTTATTTTCTACATCTATAATGCTGTATGAATCCATTATCAGGACTTGAATCAATCTCTTGGTTTACTAATTCACTTACTGCCTTGAATTTTTCATTTTTTAATGCTGTGCTTGGGTACATTCTTTTTGTCTTTTAAGTCCAGGTTCTAGATTTCTGAACAAATTCTAATCTGGGCAGGAAGTCTTCCCTGAAAACCGGGGCAGCATAAAATTCTCTGTTTCATTATTCTCAAGTTCTTTTACCTAATTTTAGGAGATTTATGGTAGAATAGTGTTTAATATTTGTGGTAGCTGATGAGTGTGGTTTAAGAAACTCAAGGGATTAACTTTTACAAATTGGAAAACTTTTCTACCTATTTTAGAAGGTTAGAATTCAGTCAAAAAGTCACTTAGGTGGGAAGGACAACTTTTTATTGTACTTTTATTTTTTGTACGATTTGACATTATTACTATTATACCTCTCGGGATATATCACATCATTGAATCATGTTCCTCTGTCAATTCTAGGTGTTCCATTATTGTTATAAAATAAAATCCACATGATTTATGATGTCTTCCTTCATCTCAGCTGGCAGTTACCATTTTTTGCTTTCAGAGAATTGTGTATTTCTAGATTCTTTACCATCTGAGCCACCAAGGAATCCCATTCCTATTACAGTACTTACTATAATTTGCTATATATCATTACTGTAGCTATCAGTTCAATGGATTGTGTTTAAGGTTTAAGAAGGCTTTAGTCTCTTTTTTAAACCATTACCTAGTCCTCACCCCATGTCTTATGTGCACAGTAGGTCTCCAACAAATGTTTGTTAAATGAAATTATTCCCTTTGTTTGAAATGCCTTTCCTGCTCATGGATTGTAATCACTCTGACACATATTGCTAAATGACTGTGGGTAGATTGCATAATCTCTCCTAAATATTTTTATCCTGAAACTAGCAACGCCTTCCCTCAAAGGGTTAGGTTATAATTAACTAGTAAAATGCTTTGAAGAAGTTAAAGTTAAGCATTATGATCATCCTATTAAAGGTGAACTGTTGGTATCAGGTTTGTAGGTAAAGCTTTCCCAAAGCTTGAAGTTAATTAGATGGTGTTGAAGTAATTATTTTGTAGTATTTGCATCTTGGTTTTTTTGCTTTACTTAAATCCCTAGAGTTCTTTGGAGGGAGGGAAGCCTTTGTAATGCTGTTTATACGCCGAGTCACGTTTGAAGTGTTTGCACTGTAGGAGTGGTACTGTGCAGCATTTAAAATGATGTGTATCACGCTATACTTAAATCTTTTATATGCCGGAGGTCCTCAGACTTCTGTGTGTTGAGAATCATTTGGAGGCCCTCATTGAAAATATCCCACCTCCACCCAAGGTTCTAGTTTAGCAGGTTATGTTTCTTAATGACAAATCAGGTGCTTTCTGATTCAGTTAGTATCACTGATACTATTTAGTTAGTATTTCAGTTAGGACAACACTTTGAGAGATACTCCTGAATGAAGCTGTAAAAAGCCTGTAGAATATGAGAGAATGACTAGTAAATAAACTTATAAACTCATATGACTTATGATGTTCAAAGTCATTAGTTATATAATATTTACAGAGTTGTATAATAACTCACATATTTAAAAAATGGCTTGACTTCAAATACTTTTACTGTTTTTCCTTTAATTCAATAAGTACATAGTACTTATTCCCAGAGTGTGTTTGTGAAACTTCAGTACCTACAGATAGCTCCAGTTGGTGGTGGACAGGGAAGCCTGGTGTGCTGCAGTCTGTGGGGTCCCATAGAGTCGAACATGACTGAGCAACTGAACTGACAGATGCTCCATGAAAAAAGAGCTTATTAAATAAGTTTGTGAATTGTTATATACTGTCATCCATACTTGGAGATTTATATTGCATATTAACTTTTTTTCTGTATCACCATGTGGCCTGTGGGATCTTAGTTCCTCTACCAGGGATAGAACTTGGGCCTCTTGTATTGAAAGTAGAGAGTCTTAACCATTGGACTGCCAGGGAAGTCCCTGCATATTAACATACTAAAGACTCTTACAAGTCCTGAAGCAAAAAACCTTGGACCTCATTGTTTTCTGAAATTTATTTGACTATGAGCTTTCCTTTGTTTCTCCTAGCAATTTCTATTAATTTACTGAACAAACTTGAGGAAATCTTGCCTTTTTCTTTCCCCCCAGTTAGGAAATGAGTGAATGAATTGAATAAGGAGGGTTGGGGAGGGAAAATTCTTACTAGGATGCCAACTAAACTATATAGGAGTGATTGGATTAGAAAGTTACCACCATGATGGTATTGGATAAAGGCAAGTAGTAGTCAGTGAATGTTGTGGCTAGTGAGTTTGATGAAGAACAGAGTATTGGTTAATTTTAAGAATGATTTCACATAAACTAATCAAATACAAAGGGAAAAATAGTGACTTTATAGTGGGAAAACCTGGCAGACACCAACTTGATTAGGTGATCAAGATTATTCTTAATGATGGGTAGATACAGTATGCATAGTATCATGTCTGTATATCCTTCCATGAATGTTATGGCCTGAATTGGGTTACGAGGAACATCGGGTAGGCCCAGACTGATGGTCATTCCAGAGAATTAAAAAGCCTATATTCTTAACTGAGGGCATGAGGAACTGAGGGGACTGTTCCAGATAGGAGACAGAGGAGGTATGATAACTACATACAGTATATGTTCCTGGATATAATTCTGAAGCAGAAAGGAAAGAGAGACCATGTTGGGACATTTGATAACATTTGAATGTATCTGCAAATTAACTCTGTGTTATATCAATGATGATTTCCTAGTTGGAAGGATTGAATGATGCTAATGTAGCAGAATTTTCTTGCTTTGTAAGTTACACACTGGACTATTTAGGAGAGAAATGATGAATCATGTCATAAAAATATATATCTACACATCTTTTCTGTAGGTTTGAAATTATTTTAAAATAAAAGCTAAACATACTTTTTTGAGCATAAATTTATCTTTCTAAGTTTTTTGTTTCTGTATTTACAGATTACATTTTGCTACACTTGCAGAGGGATTCCTTCAGTAGATAGTTTTTGGTTAAATAAACACTATCCAGGAATTTAAGAATTCCATGAATTTTAATAAGAATAGTAAATATATTTTAAACTTTTTCTTTCAGAAAGCTGAAGCTGATGGTAGTTTAAGTGATAGCCACGTGTCTCCTCCAGCCAAACGCACTTTGAAACAACCTGACTCTGTTTGCAAAGACAAATCAAAATCACGAACTACTGGTCAGCGAGAAGAATGGAACATATCAAGTGGACAGGCCAGGTGAGAAGGGAGAACTCACCCATTGTTTTTTCATAATTTTTTGGATGGGAATCAGGGCTGATATTAATGCTAATTTTCTTAAATTGTAAAACCACCTGTCTGGGAATACTTATAAATTGTATTAAGCTTATTTTATAATTTTTGTGTATAATTTTATTTTCTCTATACCAAAAATACATTTAGTATGTAATAGAAACTATTATTACTTAAAACGTTAAGAATTTTGATAGGTCTTGAATGTGCATACATGTTTATACTCCTGAAAATTTAAATAAAAATAATGGTTAGAAGTATATTTTTTATTAGAAAATAAAATTTCTTCTTCCTAAAATTATTAAATATTCCACTTGAATTGGTATGCTAAAATGTAATAAAATCTCAATTAATTTTTAAGAAATCTTTTCATGTATCTGATTGTTTTCAACTTAAATTTTCTTTGTGTCTGTTTTGATATGTATTATGAACATAATTTTACTCACCAAAGTAAGTGGTACTAATTTAATGTAGATAGGATGGCTGTACACACACTCAGAAAAGATTTAAATTTTCAGCTTAGAATCCTTAGCTTCTCTTTTATTCAAAGTCTTTGATGTAAAAGTGCTGATGATGTGCCAAATGCTAACAAAAGTAAAGGGGAATTCCTTTTTGACAGTATTTCTATTTTATGTCTGTAGGTAAATTCTGGACATTTTTATTAGTCTTTAATGAAAATAATCTTTGGAGTTATATAGATTTTGATAGGCATTATACATTTACTAGTCTCTAAAGAGGCTATGCCTAATTTAATATGTACCACTTTATTTAAAATTTTTAATTTTGCATTGTCTGAGAGTTAAGTTGAAAATTATGTGAATCAGTCTATTGATTTTTTTTTTTAACTTTCCCAGCTTTCCCATACTCATTCATCTGTGAGATGAAACAGATCCAGATCACTATAATGATGTCACTTAAAATAATACTTCCCTTTAATTATACTTCTCCACTTGATTTATGGGTTGTAATCTGTATCCTGTGTTTATTAGATGAGTGAATCAGGCTTATTTTTCTAACAAATGTTTCTAAAAAGTATTCTTTTACTGTTAAAAGTTTGGCCTTTAATTGTAAGATAATTTTAACAGTGTAACTCAAGTATGAGTCTCTCTAGTATAGTAGATTTCTCACATCTTATCCACTCAGAGATCTGTATAAATTAATCTTGATCATGTCTTTCATGTAAAAAGAAGAGAGAGTTTTGCTTCCATTTAGATACCTTAAGAGTTTGATATTCCTTTAAAAAAACTTTAAGTACATTTTGAATAAGAAAATTAAGAAATAATGAATACTAATAGAATTTACTGCTTCTGTTTTGGCAGGAGAATAATGTTTAACAGTTCACACAATTTTAAATGTTTTTGGGTTAAACTTTCATTGAGGAATGTGATTAAGTGCTACACTGCTAGAATCTTTTAGTATTTCAGATGAACTGAAAAGAAAATGCCATTTGGTCTGTCAGATTCAACAGAATTGAATTTTTGGGAAACTTGTAGTTTAAAAATATTTTAGATTTTGAGATAATATAAATACAAAAACCAGGATTTATATGAGTGCTTATATTAGTTTTTATGTCATGAACCTGAGAATCCTAATTCCTTTATTTTGGTAATCTAAAGTCCTAAGAGCATCTAAGGTAAAATGACTGAAGTTCTTTGACAAAAATGACTTTAAAATACAGTTCATTTAGAGGAAAATTGAATAAAGATAAAAATTAGTATTAGCTATGAAAAATGATGACTGTTAAAGGACTTTAACAACCATTAAATTCTTTAAAGACACTACTGTTGATTTGTAAAATAACATTTAGGAATAACTTTTAGAGATTGGATGAAAATAGAGATTAAAATGGAACTAGAACTTTGACGTCTTCATAAATGATTTGAAATAGATTATAAGTTTTCTTTGGGGGAGGAATCTGGGTTTATATATTTAAAGTCCCAAGTTTACCAATACAGTTACAGTGATTGATAATATTTTTGTAAAATGAGGATTTTCTTGGTAAAAATCTTTACTGCATTACTACATCTTTTCTTCTTTAGCTTATATGTAGAAATTCATAAATATACTTGCTAACCTAGATAGCTGTTGCAGCTTACAAATATTTTGAGTTCAGAATCCCATTTCACTGACTTTTGTCAGTTGACATTTATTTAGCCACTAGATATTTAGCTAATTTGGAGGCTGTGTGTTTGGGGAGTAGGTGGTTGGGAGAGTCAATGTGGAGAACATGGCATGCATTTGATGTCTGTAGAATAATAGAGAGACATACTCTGAGAAACACACGAAATTAAATCTTTGATAAGCCTAACTGTGCACTAAAGTGTAATATGTGTGAAAATTTTGTTTTGTGGTCAGATGATTAGGGAGTAGTGAGGTTAGGCAGAAGTGTAATCACCACTGCTGAGGCTCATTAGAATTGAAGGCTGCTAGTGGGTAAAGTTTTTCCAAATGAATGCTTTTGCTGAATTGAGGTTTAAAATCCTCATAAATCATTGAATGCCTTGGGTTTATGTGGGTGAATAAGTAATGATTTTTGAGTCTGGTATTGAACTTGGTAGTGTGTCCCATGTAATTAAAGGTGTAGAAACTTTTAATGTAATAATTACTGAATGCAGGGATAGTGTCTCCATTTAAAAAATTTAGGGTACAGAGATAAAGGGAAATATCCCCCACTTACTCCTCATTTTAAAAATAAACAAAGGGGACTTCATAATCATAAAGGATTTATTAGAGGATTCATTTAATCAGTGAACCTGCATGGTTACACTTTAAGTGATTAATTTTTGGGAACATTGATTCAAGAGATTTTTAAAGCACCTATATAATTGTATAGGCAGACCAAGCCTTGAAATACCAATATTATCTTTTTATACCCAAGTATTTCATATTCTATCTCCTTTTTTTTCTTTCTCCTTTTTATAAAGAGAAATAATAATGGTACAGTGATGACAATAAGCTATGATTGTAAGATAATGGGATTGATTGAAGAAGTTTTCTTTTTTCTCTCACCTTAAATCAGATTTTTCATTAGCAATGAAATAAAAGCAAGTAAGCACTGTCTTCTTTAGAGGAACAAAAATTGTTACTGTGCTTTCATCCTAGTGATGTTATTTTTTCAACAGAGTTTTAGATTTCTTTTGTAGAATGATTTTAGGGTTAGCATCTTTTCTTTTGAATAATTTATGTGAAATTCCAACCATTTGGTCTTACATACAGCTAAAATTCATTTGAAGCTAAGAGTTGTGAATTAACTGATTAAACTGAGTTAATGTTATGTTGGGTCCAAAGCCAAAGTGTATTTATGCTTTTTCTATGTGGTTTTAAGTGGATTTTAAGAGTGATTCTAGGAAATTCCACATGTATAATGTTCTAAGGAATAACCTAATAACATCAATTTTATTACTTATAGTCAAGTTCATATACCAGGAGAATTGTGTAATAAAGATGCTAAAAATGAAATACTTTCCAAGAAGTAGTATTTTAGAACAAGATGGTTGGTGTTGTTTTCCTGGGGAAAGGAGGGATGGAGTTTTTTGTTTTTGTGTTCTTGATAGTCAGAAGGTATGTAATAGTTTTTGTTTATATCATATAGTCATCCTGTCTGTGACTTTTACTAGACAAAGACATTTATCATTAATATTTATAACATTTAATATTTATAATTAACATAAAGCATGCTGGAGTAACCAAAAATGTTAGAATATTTTAGTTAGAAAATTGTTGTGCAAATCACATAGATAAGCAGAAGAAAGTCATATATACTATTTTTTGAATGTCCTCTCTCTCCCCTTTTTAATATTTGGAAATAATAATTGTTGGGTATGTAAAAAAAATAAGTTTACGTTGACAGCTCTTTTATTATGTAACAATTTTTAGTTTTTGTTTTTGAATTTTAATTATAGTAAGGTATACTGCAAATTTCTTCCATAAGTTTTCATATTTTGATGACACTTTAAGTATCTTTCTAGTGACTTAACATTTCTGTCCCTCTACCAAAAAGGAGAGTGGTACAATGACTTTTGAGAGATTAAGTTTTCATGTATTAGTTTAGAATGTGTAATATAATACTTTGAAGAAATTATTAAACATTGTTGGTGTTCAAGTACTTTTTTCTTCTTACAATTTATTGTTTGATAACTTTGTTTGAATCTTAGGTTGTCAATGGAAACAAGTAGTAAAGGTCTGTGACCATTGCTGTTTATGGCATTAGTTAACTATGATACATACAAAGCTTAACCTTTTTCATTGGATTTTAATTTATAGAGTTGAAGACAGAATAAGTTCAGTTTATAACTTGTTATTAAAGCTTTTCTTGAAGTAATGAAATGACTTTTCACTAGTGTATTTTATTAATTTGTATATTGTCAATCTTAAGGTAAAAAATTGTTGTCTTTCCTTTTAAAAAAGTTAATATTGCATTAGTGACATTTTAAAGATTAAAGTGATTCCACCAGCATTGCATTTTTGTTTCTTTAAATGAATGTTGATGTGTTTGCATATTAAATATAATTGTGTTCTAGGTTAACTTCTCAGCCTGGTGCTACATTACCAAACGGACATAGTAGCTTATGTGAGTATTCTGTTATGAAACTGGTTAGTATTGAAATGCTTATAATGTTATTAGAGTTCTAAAGTGGGGTAAAATAGAGTAATTTACTAGTATGCTCAGCATACTGTTGGAAGTGACTGGATTACAGTCATGGTAAATATGTATATAATTGTTAAACATTGAGAAATTAGTACAATTGAAATAATTTAAGTTATCATGGCAGATTGTAAACAGTTTTAGAAATTTAACATTATTGGATATTAAAGCCATTTAAGAGGTTATAGTAAGCTCCTTATAGTCTTTTTAAAGTAATTTTTGATTTTTTTCTTTCTTTTTATACTCTGTACTTTGAAATGGAAATTTCTCTCTTCTTGTAGCCCTTCGAAGCCATCCCCATCGAGGGGAAAAGAAAGGAGATGGGGACCTTTCTTGTATAAATGGTGACATGGAAGTCAGAAAAAGCTGTCGTTCCAGGAAAAACAGATTTGAAAGTGTGAACCAGAGTTTGTTATTTGATCAACTGGTAAATAGGTATGAATGTTTTTGCAGTAAGCAATTTCATGTAATTGTTTTTTTTTTAAGCCAGTTATGTTTTAAAAAGTAACTTAGGCACTGACTTAGCAATCAGTACAATTATTTAAAAACTTAATCTGAATTAATCATGGTTAGCAATAATTGTTAATTTCTAGTCACTTTACTAGATTTAATGCAGTTTATGTGATAGCATATTTTTTCATACTTTTTAAGCTCTTGTGCTTAGTTAGATAATATAAAAAGTAATTTTATTTTAACTTCACTACTATAGTCCTTTAATATTTGCTCATTTAACATTTGTGTTTTGACAGTTTTCAAGAAACATTAAGTTCCATTACTGATATATAATAGGTATAGTTTTACTTAGTCAAGATTCTGAATTGAAAGTCTTTTCAGACTGCACATATTGGATATAGCCTAGCTGACTCCTCAGCATCTATGTACAATGAAACGGTATTCTTCTCAAATAATAAATCATCCTATTTAATCCTTGTAATAGCTTGGAGAAGGGAGATGGGTGTAATTCCTTTTTGAAAGGAGAGGAAATTATGTTTTATTGTGGTAGTGTCAAATTTGAGTATTAGTTATTTTTTGTTAAGTACCTAGATCAGTATCTGAACACATAGTAAGTGCCATGTGTGTTTAAAATGTCAATGTCAGTATATATTTTGTGGATGTCAGTGTCCTCTAATTTCAAAGTTTATCTGCCCTTGTAGTGGGAGGCGGGAGAGAGGTTTAAGAGGAAGGGGACATATGTATACCTATGGTTGATTTATGTTGATGTATGGCAGAAAGCAGCACAATACTGTAAAGCAATTATCCTTCAATTACAAATAAGTAGATTTTTAAGAAAAGAAAAAATATGTCAGTTCAGCTAACCTTATGCTGGCTTTAAACTTTTTACAAATTCTTTATTCTATACAGTTTTTTAAATTTATTTTTTATTTATTTATTTTTTATTTATTTATTTTTTATTCTATACAATTTTTAACACCATTCTCAAATAAAAAGATTTGAATTAGTTTTTTTTTTTTTTTGGTACCATGGATCTGATAGTCAGTTATTTGTAATAGTATTATGAGTTTAAATATTTGAAGCCTTGTAAACAAAGGTCTTCTATTTGTAAGTTTTATGTTAATATAGCATGACAGAAGATGTTTTGTTTCTGTCTTTCTTTTCTTTTTTGGCCATGCTGCATGGCTTGTGGGATCTTAGTTCCCTGAGAAGGGTTTGAACCCAGGCCCCAGCAGTGAAATCCCTGAGTCCTAACCACTGGACTGCCAGGGCATTCCCTGTTTCCATCTGTTTTTGAGGCATTATCTTCTAATGGATGCTAGTTCAGAAGAAGATATTAATTGGGATATTAGGTACAGTTAGAAATTAGATGGCTTAATTATGCTTTGATGGTGAGCTCTTTTACCTGAATGATACAGAGTTTGATCCTGCAATTGTCTAAACCCTAGTTTTATTATGTAATTGTAGTACTGCGGAAGCTGTACTACAGGAAATGGACAACATAAACATCAGACGGAATCGTCGATCAGGAGAAGTAGAACGGCTTCGAATGTGGACAGATACAGAATTTGTGAGTATGTTAACCTTAACAACTGTCCCTGGTGCCTCAAAGGGTAAAGAATCTGCCTGCAATACGGGAGACCCATGTTTGATATCTGGGTCAGGAAAATCCCCTGGAGGATGAAATGGTAACTCACTCCAGTATTCTTGCCTGGGAAATCCCATGGACAGAGGAGCCTGGGGGGTTCATTTCATGGGGTTGCAAAGAGTCGGACATGACTGAGCGACTAACACAACAACAACAACCACCATTGCAAGTAGTTTTTATTTTGATTGAGGAATTCAAAGAGAGAGAGTAGCATTTGGATTTTCTTGAATTAACAGAATTGTTCCTTTTTCGTTTCCAATTTAATCTGAGATTTTATTGTTTTCTTTTTTCTTTTATCCATACCTTGTTTGCCACAAGCTTCCTCAAAAGACCCTCTACCCTTTTGCCAGAGAGATCTCCTGGAGAAGGAAATCGCAACCCACTCCAGATTCTTGCCTGAGAAATCCCATGGACAGAGGAGCCTGGTGGGCTGCAGTCCATGGGGTGGCTAAAGAGTTGGATGCAGCTTAGTGACTAAACAACAACATCTTAAAGTACAACTCTGATTCTGTCAACTATTAAGGTTTTTTGTTTTTTTTTTTTTTGGCTGCACTGTGAGGCATGTGAAATCTTAGTTCCCCAGCCAGGGATCGAATCTATATCCGCTGCATTAGGAGTATACAGTCTTAACTGCTGAACCGCCAGGGAAGTCCCTTTAATGGTTTTTTAATGTGTGCTGAATTAATTAAAATCACCTTAGATAGCCAGTGGGAATTTGCTATATGACACAGGGAGCTCAAGCCCAGTGCTCTGTGATGACCTAGAGGAGGGGAATGGAGTATGAGGAAGGCTCGGGAGGAAGGGGACATATGTATACCTATGGCTGATTCGTGTTGATGTATGTCAGAAACCAGTACAACATTGTAAAGCAATTATTCTCCAGATTAAAAATAAATAAATTAAAAAAACCCCAAAACACCTTGACTGGCATAATATGGTTTCAGACTTTATCTTCTCACACACCATTGTCCAAATACAAACACATCATCCTTCCTTTCCTATCTTTTACTCCTGTTAATACTTCTGGTTGAGGACTTAATGCACTTCTATCTTTGTTTCAAGGCTCATTTCAAATGCTTCCTCCCCCACTCCCCTAGGCACATTTCCCCTCTCCCTGCCCAGTTTTCAAGTATCTTATAAGTTTTATTTTTCTTCTTGTTTCATACATTTATTGAATTCAGTAAGGTTCATTTTTGTTGATCTGTGCCTTGCAAATAGATCCTCAATAAATTTTATCGAGTGGGCATGTCCCATTGGGCTAGTGATACTGATGGCTGGGAATAAATTTCATGTTAATATTTGACAGATTTCTTTCTTTAAAAGGAAAACATGGATATGTATTCAAGAGTGAAAAGGCGAAGAAAGTCACTGAGAAGAAATAGTTACGGGATACAAAATCATCATGAAGTCTCTACTGAGGGTGAAGAAGAAGGTTTGTAGAGCACCTTTATGAAATAAATGCTACAATGTTCAGGTGGGAGGAAAGAGAAACATACAAACTATATATATATATGTGTGTATGTGTCTATGTATATAATATATTGCTGAATGGGTGATTTTTGACTTTAGAGGTCTATATTACATAATTCAGAATAATTTTTGTTCCATTGGCATTTCTGAGTATTTAATTCCTTCACTTGGAAAAATACCTTTGCTGTATGCTATGCATGATGCTGAAGCTGAAACTCCAGTACTTTGGCCACCTCATGTGAAGAGTTGACTCATTGGAAAAGACCCTGATGCTGGGAGGGATTGGGGGCAGGAGGAGAAGGGGGAGACAGGGATGAGATGGCTAGATGGCATCACCAACTCAATGGGCATGAGTTTGAATAAACCCTGGGAGTTGGTGATGGACAGGGAAGCCTGGCGTGCTGTGATTCACGGGGTCACAAAGAGTCGGACACGACTGAGTGACTGAACTGAACTGAACTGAACTGATGCATTGTTGTGTAATATTGATATATCTTATTAGTAAGCTGTTGGTAGTTCTTAAATGACCTAATCTGATGTAGCATTTGCCATGGATTGATTTGCTTGTTAGTAGGCAAGACCTCTTTTGTATTTAGGTACTTTTTAGTTGGAAATCTCTGTCCATAGCCACCTAAATCTATGATTATTTGGATCTCAAATTTAGTTATGGCTAGAGGATGGTGAAGTTAAAGAAAGATTGCTAATACTACTGGAGGGAGTGGTACTGCTTTTTTCTGAGGCCTATCTGAGTTCTGATTTGAAGAATCCTGACTGAATTTGTCAGGCTGGATTTGGGAGCAGATGAAAGCACATTGTCTGAGGATTATAAATTGATGACTAGTACAATCTATAGGAGTTACATTTATAGGGTTTAATTCTGTAGATGTTAACTTTCTTTGTTAAAATGGATTTTTAGAAGATTTGGTGTATTTAAAATGCTGTGTAGTTGTTTTTCACTGGGAAATCTTATTAGTTCCTACTATTCGTGTAACTTAGATGGATAAGAATGGGTTTATTTCTCAAATTCTGTAATTAATATATTAGTAAGTTTTGAAGAGTTGATATTTTTAATGAAGGTATTTTATTGAGCAAATGTTGTTGTTGTTACAGCTAGAACCTCTATATTGCTTCCTTTGGAGAAAATCAGTATAGGTGAGACAGATTTATAATGTGATTTTTGCCTTATTATTAACTGAACACCTTTGTAGATTTCCCCGAGGACTTGCCATGTTTAGAATTTTTTCTCATAATAAATAATGCATTTTTTTTTTCCAAAAGGCAATTTTTTGAAGTTTTAAGAAAACTTATTTGGACACAAGTAATTTAAAGTGTTATTTAGTTAATACTGCATTTGCTAATTTTCTCATGAGTAAAATGTAAAGTCCTTTGAATTTTTAGTTTCGTGTTTCACTGAGCATCACTGACAGTTTAAAATTTTTTCCAGTGCTTTATTTATTTATTTTTTCCAGTGCTTTAATATGATTGTGTTATATTGATAATTCCTGTGGTTAAAAAGTTAATCATAAAGTACATTGCATTTGAAGACCCTAAGCTTACACATGTTCACTAGACTCTCTTTTCTTTTTAACTTTTAATTTTATATTGAGGTATAGCCATTTAACAATGTTGTGATAGTTTTATGTGGACAGCAAAGGAACTCAGCCATACATATACATGTATCCATTCTCCTCCAAACTCCCTTTCCATCCAGGCTGCCACATAATGTTGAGCAGAGTTCCATGTGCTGTACAATAAGTCCTTTTTGGTTGTCCATTTTAAATATAGTAGTGTTTCACTAGACTTTTAAACTGTAAATATGTCACATCATAGCTATAGCAAAATCACTTTTTAAAATTAAAGGATTTATGTACATTGTAATTTATTTTTTAAATGTATAGCCAGGTAAATTATAAACTGATCACTCATGTCAAGAAATAAACTATTACCAATACCCTAGAAATCTGCTTTCATACTCTATCCCAATCTCTGCCTGAATTTTTCTACCAAAAATGTAACTAATCTGTGTTCACCTGTTATCAGTGGGCCTAATAAACCACTACACTGCCAACAAAAATTGTTCTTGTGTAACATTAGTAATTATCTTTTAAGCATATTTTTTTTGAACTATCAAGTAGTATGTGAATGCTAACTGTATTCAGTGGTTAATTGGGCATTGAATGAAGTTTGCTGTAATAAAGTTTTGAATCATATTCTATTATTGCTTTGTATGTCCAAAAAGATAATACAAAAGGTTGAAAAGTCATAGGTGAATCAAGAGCTCAATTGTGATCATATTGATATATTTAACAGAGAACTATAATATTTGTAGGAAAGGCATTTTCTTTTACATCTATCTAGTTTCATTTTTAATTGCATTGCTTTATGCTGTATCATACAATGTTGACACTTTTAAATGTCACCTGTGTAGAAAGAGTAAAAGATAAGATATAAATATTCAGTTTTAGAGTAGACCAATCCTTGTGGATTAAAGCATATATTTTTTTTTTCTTTTGTGTGTGGGAAACTAGAATCTCAAGAGGAAGATGGAGATATAGAGGCTGAAGAAGCAGAAGGAGAAGAGAATGATAGGCCATATAATCTGAGACAAAGAAAAACAGTGGATCGATACCAAGCACCTCCAATAGGTAAGAGACTCTTAAGTAACTTCTTTTCTTTTTGTGGTAGAGTAGCTTATTCTTCTCGGTTCCTTAAAAAAAATTAGTGTTGTTGAATTTAAAAGAATGAAATCTCTTACAGATTCTGTATATCTTTTCTTATGTATGCTTCTAGTCACACACATGACTGAATGTTGGAGGATACAACTGCAATATAGAATTTCATTGTGCATGCACATTTTATTTAAATAATCCTAAATTTAATAATAAATACTGCTCATACTTTTGTATTACTTTGTTGTTTATTGAGTACTTTCATTTGTAGCAGTTCTTTAGGGCAAGCCTTTCTGTGTTCCAAGTGGTTAAGTAATTTAAGCTAAAGTCACAAAAGGGCAGCTTGGCCAGTAAGCTAGGTTTGTTTTGTTTTAGTCTTGAGAAGGAAACAGTTTATCCTAACACTTTTAAATCTGATGACAAGTAATCAGTTCCATAGGTTCTATTTTATTGTCTATTTCCCCAGCTCTTGGGAAATTCCATCATGATTGATTTCCTCCAGTTTTTAGAATATGGAAATTTAGTTCACATATCATGAAATTTGTCATTTTATCCAGGCTTTGCTTTTTTTTTAATCTGTACAATTTATGAGTTTTTAGTATATTCACAAGGGTGTGCAGTCATCACCACTGTTTAATTCTGTAATATTTTATTACATCTATACTTCCGTGCCCCCAGCCCTTGGCAATCACTAATGCACTTTCTATCTCCATTGATTTGCCTATATGTGACCTTTTGTGTCTTGCTACTTTCATTTAGCATAATGGATCATTTTATTCAGACTTTCATGTTCCAAAGCAGTGATTGATTCTCTGGAAATATCAAAGTTACCTCACTAGAAGCTTGCTGAAGTATGTAGACATTTCTCTACTCCAGTTAGGGCTCACTGTCACAGGTACCCCTAATAATAATAGGATAGGTATGTTAGGACACAGAAAAGATTGTGAGCCATTTTTCTAGCGTTTTTTTTTTTTTTAAAGCTTTATTGAGATATGAGTTATGTGTAATCCATTGCCATTGCATATGCTTCATGTGTACAGTTTGGCAAGTTGGAAATACCTTAGGGATTTACTTATGAAACTGTCACCACAGTCAAGATAATAAGCATTTTTCATCATCGTCTCCATCCTCAAATTTCATTCTGCCTGTTTATAATCTACTCCTAACCCTTGTGGCTCAGCTGGCAAAGAATCTGCCTGCAATGTGGGAGACCTGGGTTTGATCCCTGGGTTGGGAGGATCCCCTGGAGAAGAAAACGGCTACCCACTCCAGTATTGTGGCCTGGAGAATTCCATGAACTGTATAGTCCGTGGAGTTGGACATGACTGAACGACTTTCATTTCATTTCATTTCAACCTTCTTTTGCCTCCCTCTCCCAACCCTCAGGCGGTGACTTCTCTTACCTGCTTTCTGTCACCATGGATGAATTTACATTTTCTCAAATTTTATGTATAGTATATACTCTTTTTTGTCTGACTTATTTCACTCGGCACGATATGACAGAGGTATTTTTCTTTTTATTGCTCAGTAGCATTCCATTGTATAGGTATATTACAATTTGTTTACCCATTCATTTGTTGATGACATTTGGATTGTTGATATTTCTGGTGTCTGGGTATTATAAATACATAAGTTGTTATGAGCATATGTTTGCAAGTCTTTGTTTGAACTTATGTTTTCATTTTTCTCATAAATACCTAGAAGTAGAAGGCTGGGTTTTATAATTAGGTGTATGTTTAACTTACTAAGAATTACCAAACTGTTCCAAAGTAATTATACCATTTACATTCTCACTAACAGTGTATGGAATTCCTTGGCGGTAGTTCATATGGTAAAGAATCTGCCTGCAATGTGAGAGACCTAGATTCAATCCCTGGGTTGTGAATATCTTTTGGAGAAGGGCATGGCAACCCACTCCAGTATTCTTGCCTGGAGAATCCCATGGACAGAGGAGCCTGGTGGGCTACAGTCCATGGGGTTGCAAAGAGACGGGCACGACTGAGCAATTAACACTAAGAGTATATGAGTTTCAGTTGCTTCATATTCTTGTCAACATTTGGTATGGTCATTTTTAAAAATTAATTTTAATTCATATTTATTGTAGTTTTAGTTTACATTTCGCTAATGACTAGTGATGTTTAGCATATTTTTATCTGCTGATTTGCCAAGATTATCTCTGGTGAAGTATTCAAATCTTTTGCCCATTTTTTCAATTCAGTTGTTTGGTTTTTTATTATTGAAATTTTGAGAGTTCCTTATGTACTCTGGATATCAGTCATTGTGATTTACAAATATTTTCTCAGTTGGTAGCTTCTTGAAAAAAAATTCTCTTAATACTATCTTTCAAAGAGCAGAATTTGTAATTTTGATGAATTTCAGTTTTTCAACACATTTTAATGGATTAGGCTTTTGGTGATATGTCGAATAAATCTTTGGTTAACCTAAAGTCACAAAGATTTAGTTTAACATTTTTTTTTAGAATGTTTATTTGCAGCTTATAGTGTTTACCACAAAGTATTTATTTTTGTTGTGCTTCCTCTAGACAGCATTTAGAACTTGAAGACAGTTTCTATTCAGAAAATTAATAGAAGTAATTTCTGCATCTTTAATATATCAGTTTATCAATTTATTATTAGTTATTTCTGTGTTTTCTTTTTTTTTTTTTAAGTACCAGCTCATCAAAAAAAGAGGGAAAATACCCTTTTTGATATTCACAGATCTCCAGCAAGAAGAAGTCATATCAGGTATGTTTTGTTAGTTTTTAAAGGGGGAAGTATTTCCATCTATCATTTAGATAGCTCCTTCAGTGCTACATAGTATCATGCATTACATTGAGGATGTAGGTTTTAATGTCGTTAATGATAATGCCAGTGAAAACTAAATAGCATCTTCTTTAATTAGTCACTAATAGTTTTTACCCTGTGTGTGACTATTTTCTTTCTGATTCAGTTTGCCAGAAATGATTATTGTTTTAACAATTATGTTCCCTAAAGCTACACAGCTTTCTGGTCTCACTAAGAGTAAGTTGAGTCTCGAGACTCACATTACTTTCATTGGAAGAATTGATTCAGTTAGTCTTTGCTACTTTTAGTTTCCTTTTGACCTTTCAATTAGATACAAAGAGGCATTTTGATTTTGATTTTGAAAGACTATCTTCTCCACTTTGTTTTCTGAAAAGGTAATATATTCCCCATGGCTCAAAAATGAAATAAATAGACATTAAAAGCTGTTTTCTAGTCTCAGTAGCCTCTCAGAATCTCATAGAAACATTTTTATTAGATTGTATGTCCTTAGAGAATATGTTCATACATATATGTGTGTGTGTGTGTATATATATATATATATATCAATACATATATTGATTGTTATCCTTTCTTTTTACCCAAAATACACTATGCACATTGTTCTTTTTTCACTGGATTTGTTTTCACTGTCTTTTCATTTAAGTATAGCAAAATTTCACATTTATAGTTCCATAACACTACTGTATTTAATATAGTTATACTGTAATTTTAAAATTATTTCTTTATTGAGAGTCAGGTTGTTTTCACTGTTTTGCTATTACATGGTATGGTTTATAATGCATACCCTTGCATAATTATCTTTTGCATGTGTACTTATAGAAGTGGAATCTCTGAGTTAAAGAGAATGTGAAATTGTAATTTGATGACCTTCAGTTCTGTTGAATCAGCTTGCAGTCCACCCTGCAATGTATGAAAGTCCCTACTTCTCTGTATTTCTGCCAGCAAAATGCATTCTCAAACTTTTGGATTTTTGCCAGTCTGAGAATTGAAAAGGAAATGTTGGTTTATTTTTGAATCGCTTACAAGAGTATTTCTTCCTGTATTTTTAAAAGATGTTTACTTTTTTTTCTGAAATGTCTGTAAAGTTTGCCTATTTTATAATAGATTCTTGCTTTTTTTAAACTATTGCTAATTTATAAAATTATATGACCATGTGAAGCTGCTTGCTTTTAATCTTCTTATAGTAGGTATGACCTAAATCAGATCCCTTATGATTATACAGTGGAAGTGATAAATAGATTCAAGGGATTAGATCTGATGGACAGAGTGCCTGAGGAACTATGGACAAAGGTTTGTGACATTGTACAGGAGGCAGTGATCACAACCATCCCCAAGAAAAAGAAATGCAAAAAGGCAAAATGGCTGTCTGAGGAGACCTTAGAAATAGCTGAGAAAAGAAGAGAAGTGAAAGGCAAAGGAGAAAAGGAAAGATATATCCATTTGAATGTAGAGTTCCAGAGAATAGCCAGGAGACATGAGAAAGGCTTCCTAAGTGAACAATGCAAAGAAATAGAGTAAAACAATAGAATGGGAAAGACTAAAGTTCTCTTCAAGAAAATTAGAGATACCAAGGGAATATTTCCTGCAAAGATGTACACAATAAAGGACAGAAACATTATGGCCCTAACAGAAACAGAAGATATTAAGAAGAGGTGGCAAGAATACACAGAACTATACAAAAAAGACCTTAATGACCCAGATAACCACGATGGTGTGATATCCTAGAGTGTGAAGTCAAGTGGGTCTTAGGAAGCATCATTACGAACAAAGCTAGTGGAGGTTGTGAAATTCAAGCTGAGCTACTTCAAATCCTAAAAGATGATGCTGTTAAAGTGCTGCACTTGATATACCAGCATATTTAGAAGACTCAACAGTGGCCACAGGACTGGAAAAGGTCAGTTTTCATTCCAGTCCCAAAGAAAGGCAATACCAAAGAATGTTCAAACTACCACAGAATTGCACTCATCTCACACACTAGCAAAGTAATGATCAAAATTCTCCAAGTGAGGCTTTAGCAGTACGTGAACTGAGAATTTCCAGATGTTCAAGCTGAATTTAGAAAAGGCAGAGGAACCAGAGATCAAATTGCCAGCATCCACTGGATCATGGAAAAAGCAAGAGAATTCTAGAAAAACATCTACTTCTGCTTCATTGACTACTCTAAAGCCTTTGTGTGGATCACAACAAAGTGTGGAAAATTTTTCAAGAGATGGGAATACCAGATCACCTTACCTGCCTCCTGAGAAACCTGTATGCAGGTCAAGAAGCAATAGTTAGAACTGGACATGGAACAATGGACTGGTTCTAAATTGGGAAAGGAGTACATCAAGGCTGTATATTGTCACCCAGCTAATTTGACTTATATGCAGAATATATCAAGTGAAATGCTGAGCTGGATGAAGCAGAAGGTGGAGTCACTTTCAGTAACCTCAGATATACAGATGACAATACTCTTATGGTAGAAAGTGAAGAGGAACTAAAGAGCTTCTTGATGAAGGTGAGAGGAGAGGGAAAAAGCTGGCTTAAGACTAAACATCCAAAAAAACAATGATCATGGCACCTGGTCCCATTGCTTCATGGCAAATAGATGGGGAAACAATGGAAACCATGACAGGCTTTATTTTCTTGGGCTCCAAAATCACTGCAGATGGTAACTGCAGCCATGAAATCAAGGCCCTTGCTTCTTGGAAGAAAGGCTATGGCAAACCTAGACAGCGTATTAAAAAGCAGAGACATTTTGCTGAAAAAGGTCCCTATAGTCAAAGCTATGGTTTATCTAGTAGTCATGTATGGGTCTGACATGAAGAAGGCTGAATGCCTAAGCATTGATGCTTTTGAACTGTGGTGCTGGAGAAGACTCTTGAGAGTCCCTTGGACTGCAAGGAGATCAAATCAGTCAATCCTAAAGGAGATCAACCCTGAATATTCATTGGAAGGACTGATGCTAAAGGTGAAGCTCCAATACTTTGGCCACGTGATGTGAAGAGCCGACTCAGTAGAAAAGACCCTGATGCTGGGAGGGATTGGGGGCAGGAGGAGAAGGGGACGACAGAGGATGAGATGGTTGGATGGCATCACTGACTCAATGGACATGAGTTTGAGCAAGCTCCAGGAGTTGGTGAAGGACAGGGAATCCTGGTGTGCTGCGTCCATGGGGTCACAAAAAACCAGACACAACTGAGTGACTGAACAACAAGTAGTTCTTTCTTTATGTAGTATAGTAGTCCTTTGTCACAAATTGTCAGTCTTTTTTCTCAGTTCTTAGTTTGTGTTTTAATTTTGCTTTTGGTTGTCTTTACCAGAAAGTTTTTATTATTATGTAGTCAAATTTATCAGCCTACTATGATTTTTTAGAGGGGCTTCCCAGTTGACTCAGTGGTAAACAATCTGCTTGCCAAGCAGAAGATGCAGGTTCAATCTCTGCATCAGGAAGATGCCTTGGAGAAGGAAATGGCAACCCACCCCAATATTCTTGCCTGGGAAATCCCATGGACAGAGGAACCCAGTGGGCCCCTGTTTAGAGGAGCCTGGTGTGCTACAGTCCACGGGGTTGCAAAGAGTTGGACATGACTGAGGGGCTGAACAGCAACAGTTACAATATTTTTAGATTTTGAATCATAGTTAGAAAAGCCTTCCCAAATCCAAAGTGTTAAGGAAGTTCACCTTTGTTTATTTTTATTTTATTTTATTTAGAATACTGATGGTTTTCTTTTTTAAAATTTTTATTGGAGTATAGTTGATTACAATGTTGTGTTAGTTTCAGGTGTATAGCAGAGTGAATCAGTTATGCATATAGCACATTTGTTTATTTTTAATGTTTCATATTTTACTCTAATTTTGATCCATCTGAATTTTATTCTTGTGTGAGATTTGTAGTATGGATCCAGCTTTTTTCCCAGGTGGAAAATGAGTTTTCCAACCTCATTTATTCTCCATTGATTACAGTTGCCACATTTATTATCAAATTATGTATAATGTATAAATATTTTATTACATAAAAGATGTCCTTTTTTTTTCTTTATTTTATATTTTTTCTCAGATGGCTGTTTGTATATATGCAAACAGTTAATTTCTGTATATTAATTGTACCCCACTTCTTTATTGGGAGGGCTTCCCTGGTGGCTCAGAGGTTAAAGTGTCTGCCTGCAATGTGGGAGACCTGGGTTCAATCCCTGGGTCGGGAAGATCCCCTGGGGAAGGAAATGGCAACCCGCTCCAGTATTCTTGCCTGGAGAATCCCATGTACAGCGGAGCCTGGTGGGTTACATTAGTCCATGGGGTCGCAAAGAGTCGGACACGACTGAGGGACTTCACTTTCACTCTTTATTGGGAATGCCTCTAGCATGTCCTCTGTAAGATTGATGCTTAAGAAAGATATATTTTATATCTTAGAGAGTTCGTGGTTGTTAATAATCTTGTCATTGAGGCTTAGAGGATTTTTGTTTTGTTTGTTTTTTTGGTGGTTGTTTTTGACTATGCCGTATGGCCTGTAGGATCTTAGTTCCCTGACCAGGGATTGAGCCTGCATCCTTGGCAGTGAAATCTCAGAGTCCTAACTACTGGCTTGCCAGGAATTCCTGGACATGTGTTTTTATTTCTCTTGAGTATATCCCTTGGAGTAGAATTACTGGGCCATGTGATAACTTTATGCTTTATCATTTAAGAGCTGCTTGAATGTTTTCCAAAGTGACTATACCATTTTACATTCTCTCCATCATTGTATAGGTTATCCAGTTTTTCATATTCTCTTCAAAGCTTAATACTGTCTGACTTTTTCATTCTGGTCATCCTAATGAGTATAAAATGTATCTCATTATAATTTTTGATGATATGAGGCATCTTTTCAAGTGCTTATTGACCATTTAAAAACTTTCCTTTGAGAACTGTCTTTGTGTCCTGTGCCTATTTAAAAATTGTTGTCTTTTTCTTATTGACTTATAAGGGTTCTTTATATATTCTAGATTCAGATTCCTTATCAGCTATTTGATTTGTAAATATTTTATCCTATTTTGTGGGTTGTCTTACTTTCTTGATGATGTTCTTTGAAGCAAAAAGAACTTTAATTTTATGAGGTCTAATTTATCTTTGTTGTTATTGTTCATGTTTTTGATGTCATATCTAAAAATCCATTGTCAAATCTGTGATCATGAAGATTTATTCCTCTGTTTTCTTCTAAGAGTTTTATAGATTTAGCTCTATACTTAGGTCTTTGATCCATTTTGACTTTCTTTTGTGTATGATGTGGCCCCTTCCCTTTATGGTCCATTCTGCTTTTTGTGGTATTGTGATACATTTTATAAACCTAGTAATATGTTATTAGAATTACTTTTATAATTCTGTTTTATTTAAAAAGGTGAGAGAAGAAAGGTAATCAAGTATGTTTATAGGTTTTGGATAGTAACTTTTATTATTCTGGGTCTCTTTGTTTGTTCTTGTGAATTCAAGTTACGATCTGGAGTCATTTCCTTACCCCAGTATGTACACTGTTGCTTCTGATCACCTCACTAGAGCTGATGTATTATATTTTTATATATTAGGCTCACAACACACACACATAGAGAAAATAAACTTGGAAACAGGCATTTTTTTCTTAAGGAGAGAAAGAAGTCAGAGAGAAAGTAAAATCAAAATTGCAAAGACTGAGTAGGTAACTATTGCGACAATCTTCTTAAGGTCTTGGGAAACATTAAAATATGATACAGATGAAATGAAAGGACTCCTATTAATTAAGAGAAGGAATATTAGACAGATTAAAAGTCTTAATGAGCTGGGGAAAATCTGGGTTTGCTATTGAGGGAATTGGAGTTGAATAGAGATGCACAGGGTGTACACCATTCTTGAAGGCCATTCTGAGTTTCAAGTAAATTTATAATGATTCCATTTTGTATGCTACCATATTTTCTAGGTATCTTAGAGATGTCATCGGTTATTTTAATAATTAGATTTATTGAGTATTGTTTTTCCTCAAGGATTTCAATTTGATACTTTCATGCCATAGTAGTTATGATTGTAAACTTTTCTTGAAAAGTATGTTTTATAAGAAATTCGGACAGGATATAAGTATCTTAAGTCAAAAGTGGAAACTCTTGTCTCCCCATAAACCAATGTATTATTTTCTTTAGCATCTGTACTATTTCTGATTGTTTGGGAAATGGGAAAATAAGAGAAAAGGATAAGCTTTCTTTTCTAAGATTTTGATGTTATTTATAAATCAGTGATAGACATTCCCTAAATTTGGATGCAAATTAAATTTGTTGCTTGATGGCTTTCTAAACTACCCTATTTAAAAAATTATAGCCTCCTTCTCCTCCTGTTTTTTTTTTTTATTTCCTTCTGTTGTAAATTGCATGAGTATAAGGATCTTAATAAATATTTGCCAAATGAATGAGTGAATGTATGTATTTTATACTTAGCTAACAGTAGATATGGTGCTCAGAATGGTGCTTTTTAAAAGTCCTTTGCTGCTGTAATGATTTTAAGGATTTTACTCTGTTTAAATAGGAGAAAGAAGCATGCTATTCACAGTAGTGACACAACTTCTTCTGATGAAGAACGATTTGAAAGAAGGAAATCAAAGAGCATGGCAAGAGCCAGAAATCGGTCAGTAAATTTCTGATTGTTCCTCCCACGGTGGGAAAAAGGACTAGCAGCTAAGCTTTGTGACTCTCACCTGTACCAGTAGTTTGTTCACAGTGGTACTCAACACATTAGAGTAATACGCTAAGTTGGTTTTTACATAGTAATTTTTAGAGTAGAAATCTAACTATGGGAAACTTCCCATAAATTACTTACTGTGTTAGTACTCAGTAAAACAGTGTGGAAAGATAAAGATAGAACCAGGGGAAGAGTCCAACCTCTATGACCGTCTCTTCTTCAGTACCTCTCCTCTAATCCAAATCCATTTAATGAGGCTGATTTTAGATGCTTAAAATGATGAAAGCACTCTAGAGTAAGACTTGATTTTAAATAGAATTATTTCAGGAGTCCTTGGGTTTTGTTGAAAACCTTGTTATAGTTTTGGTTGCGTGAATGCCTCTGGTGATCTTTGCTTAACTAGAGTGATTCATTATTACGTGGCTTACTAAAATTTTGAGAGTTTTCAGTGGGGGAGAGAATCAATATTTTGCCTAGTAGAGTATCCAATTATAATTTACCCTTTTTTTTTTTAAAAATTTATTTATTTATTTATTTTATCACAACCATAGTGTATCTTTTTTTTTTTTTTTTAACATGTATTCCCCATCCCGGTCCCCCCTCCCACCTCCCTCTCCACCCAATCCCTCTGGGTCTTCCCAGTGCACCAGGCCCGAGCACTTGTCTCATGCACCCAACCTGGGCTGGTGAACTGTTTCACCCTAGATAATATACGTGTTTCAATGCTGTTCTCTTGAAACATCCCACCCTCGCCTTCAAATTTAAGTTAATTTTCTAGCTTATATGTATAATACTTAAGATAAATTATATTTAGAAATTTTATATTTAGCAAAGCATTTCTATACATTAGCATTATGTATTTACTGTAGAAATACCAAGTTTTCAGTTAGCTGGTCTTGGAAACAAGTTTGGATTGGTGTAGATTGTATGCTAGAAAGAGTTCCTTGTGTGGATGACAGAAAGAGAATGTAAGGAAAATCTAAGTTTACATAAAAGAGTGTAATGCCTCTTTAATCTGAACTATTCTGACACCTGTTTTGGAAGTTTTTAAAGTAAATTCAGATTAGGAAATATCAGTGAAGTTACATTCACTATAGAACCTATACTTTTTTGAGGCTATTTATGTCATCTTTTGGTGTTTATGCAATATTAAAAGAGGCAGTAGATTGTATTTTCTTAGGGATAATTAAATTAATATTGTATAGGATTTTAAGTAGCTAAAGTATTTTAAGGTAGCTATACAAAAAGTAAGGCTTAATTTTCAAAACAGGATCTAAAATTGATTTCTCTTGAATTAAAAGGAAGGAAACTTATTTCTTCAATCATGTATTCTGAGTTGACATACATAATAACTAAGGATAAATTTAAATATTATAATAAAGCTTGAGTTCATTTAATGTCATATATAATATTAATAGTGTATATACAGTCTATTTTTATTTTATATTTATAGAATATCAGGTTTGTTAAGTTTTCTTATTTAGACTAGGTTGGACTCTTTGGACAAATAGATTCATGACCTTAATTGCTTTGTCTTATGAATAAATTTATTTCTGATCTATTGAAAAGAATTTAGGAAAAGTAGGTTAAAAGTATGAAATCTCTTGTCATTTTCTGGGCTATGAGAAAAGGGAGAAAGATAAAAATGTTTCAAAGCAGATGGCATAAACAGATGGAGAGATATTCCATGTTCCTGGGTAGGAAGAATCAATATTGTGAAAATGCTATACTACCAAATGCAGTCTGCAGATTCAATATGATCCCTATCATATTACCAATAGCATCTTTCACAGAACTAGAGCAAAAAATTTTACAATTCATATGGAAACACAGAAGACCCCAAATAGCCAAAGCAGTCTGAGAAAGAAAAATGGAGCTGGAGGAATCAACCTTCCTGACTTCAGATTATACTACAAAGCTACAGTCATCAAGACAGTATGGTACTGGCACAAAAACAGAAATGTAGACTGATGGAACGAGATAGAAAGCCCAGAAATAAACCCATGCACCTGTGGGTACCTTATTTTTGACAAAGAAGGCAAGAATATGTAATGGGGCAAAGACAGCCTCTTCAATAAATGGTGCTGGGAAAACTGGACAGCTACATGTAAAAGAATGAAATTAGAATGCTTCCTAATAACATACACAAAGATAAGCTTAAAATGGATTAAAGACCTAAATATAAGACCAGAAGCTATAAAACTCTTAGAGGAAAACATAGGCAGAACACTTGATGACATAAATCAAAGCAAGATCCTCTATGACCCACCTCCTAGAGTAATGGAAATAAAAACAAAAGTTAACAAGTGGGACCTGATTAAACTTAAAAGCTTTTGCACATCAAAGGAAACTATAAGCAAGGTGAAAAGACAACCCTCAGAATGGGAGAAAATAATAGCAAATGAAACAACTGACAAAGAATTAATTTCCAAAATATACAAGCAGCTCATACAACTCAATGCCAGAAAAACAAACAACCCTATCAAAAAGTGGGAAAAAGACCTGAACAGACATTTCTCCAAAGAAGACATACAGCTGGCTAACAAACATATGAAAAGATGCTCAACATTGCTCATTATGAGAGAAAGCAAATCAAAAGTACAATGAGGTATCACCTCACACCAGTCAGAATAGCTATCATCAAGAAGTCTACAAACAATAAATGCTAGAGGGAGCATGAAGAAAAGGGAATGCTTTTGCACTGTTGGTGGGAATGTAAATTGATACAGCCACTACGGAAGATGGTATGGAGATTCCTTAAAAAACTAGGAATAAAACCACCATATGACCCAGCAATCCCACTCCTAGGCATATACCCTGAGAAAACCAAAATTGAAAAAGCCATGTGTATTCCATTGTTCATTGCAGCACTATTTACAATAGCTAGAACATGGAAGCAACCTAGGTGTCCATTGACAGATGAATGGATAAAGAAGTTGTGGTGCATATACACAGTAGAATATTACTCAACCATAAAAAGAAACACATTTGAGTCAGTTCTGATGAGTTGGATGAACCTAGAACCTATAATACAGAGTGAAGTGAGTCAGAAAGAGAAAGATAAATATCATATTCTAACACATATATATGAAATCTAGAAGAATGGTACTGAAGAACTTATTTACAGGGCAGCAGTGGAGAAACAGACGTAGAGAACAGATTTATGGACATGGGGAGATAGGAGGAGAGGGTGAGAGGTATGGAAAGAGTAACATGGAAACTTATATTACCATATGTAAAATAGATAGCCAATGGGAATTTGCTGTATGGCTCAGGGAACTCAAACAGGGGCTCTGTATCAACCTAGAGGGGTGGGATGGGGAGGGAGATGGGAGGGAGGTTCAAAAGGGAGGGGATATATGTATACCTATGGCTGATTGATGTTGAGGTTTGACAGAAAACAACAAAATTCTGTAAAGCAATTATCCTTCAATAAAAAAATAAATTAAAAAACGTGTCAAAGCTTTAAAACTTGTTATGATATTAAGAATGTGTAACTTTTTAGTGCTGTCTACTTAAATTTTTATGAATTTCAGGTGTTTGCCTATGAACTTAAGAGCAGAAGATTTGGCTAGTGGTATTCTCCGAGAACGTGTTAAAGTGGGTGCAAGCTTGGCTGATGTTGATCCAATGAATATTGATAAGTCAGTAAGTTTTGTAAATGGTTTTCTAGAAATACCTCTTTTTTTTTTTTTTTTTTGTCACACAGCTCTTGGGATCTTAGTTCCCCCATCAAGGATTGAATCCATGCTCCCTGCAGTGGAAGCATGGAGTCCTAACCGCCATACTGCCAGGGGATTCCCTAAAGTATAATTTTTTGAACTCTGTTTATATATGAACTTTATGTTTAAACTTCAGTTCCTGCTGAAGACATGTATTTTGCAATCGTTATCTCATAAGTTAAAAAGAAACCTATATACAATTAAAATTATTTTGTACTAAACTTTTCCCCTTCTTTCCAAGGTGCGGTTTGATAGCATAGGTGGATTGAGTCATCATATTCATGCACTAAAGGAAATGGTAGTATTCCCACTTTTATATCCAGAAATTTTTGAAAAATTTAAAATTCAGCCTCCAAGGTTAGTAATGCTAGATGTTTATTATTGTTACTGTTAATTTATCAAATTTCAATTAGTAAGTAATTATAAATCTAAGTATTATTTACAAATATTTCACGTATATTTATTTGATATGTAGTGGGCTGCCGTCTATGGGGTCGCACAGGGTCGGACACGACTGAAGTGACTTAGCAGTAGCAGTAGCAATGAGAATTAAGAATGAAAGTTTATTATTTAGAGCTCAAAAGCTATGGCACTTGAAATTTATATTTCAGCATTTTGGACTCAGACGTAGGATGAGATTCTTTATGCAGGCCTTGAATATACAAGTGGATTGCCCAACTAGATTTTCCTTAATTTGGTCTAATAGGATTGAGTTTGCCACTGTATGTTGTTTAATCTTTGAAAGCACAATTTCAGTGAAGTGTTTCTTTGACTCAATGATGTGGTACTTTTGAAATGGTAAACTTGATAGTTTATGATCAGATTAATTGTGTCTGATCATGAGGTGGTTAGCTAGTTATCTATTAGAAAAGGCTGAGAAATCATGTCAGAGGAAATTGGGCAGAATAAAATATTCTGAAGATGTATACATAGATTTAAACTGCTAAATATCCCAGAGATTTGGTTCTAATTTGTTATTCATCCTTTTAAGGATTTAGAAAATCTTTTAAAGAGTCATCTTCTATTTGAGTGAGTTAAATGTTGGCCTGTAATTCTACAGTGGCTCTTATGAATCATAATAGCAATTTATTTACTTTTTATATGATGTGATCCAATGAATATGATCACTATTGATCATATTCATTAGATTCAGTTACTATTAAAAAATAGTAAATTTAAAAAACTCATTAATGAGGAACTTTAAAAAATGAAGTTATAAACAAAATGTGTTATAAGCTAAAAGTAATCTTCCTCTTTAGAGATGAACAGTTTTTATATTCTTTACAACTTTCCTTTATACATATATGCGTATATTAAGTTTATGATTTTGCCTGTATAGTGTGCATTTAAACATTTAATAAAATGAGATTACTCAATAATGTCCTTATATAACTTTATTTTTCACTCTATAATATAGATACCTCATATTAATAAATATTGTGTGTATTATTCTTTTTGACATCATACTAGTGTTTAATTTATAGATGTAGTGGTATATTTGTCCCTTATTAATAGATAGCATTTAGATTTTTTAAGAAAGTCTATAACATTCTTTTGATTATTTCTACATGATTTTGTAAAAAATGTGAAATTTCTGGATCACAGGGCTAATGCCTTTAATATTTTGCCAAATTACTGTCTACCCTGATTGAACTATTTCTTGTATACCAAAGCTTGATTGTTTGAGAACATCCTTGAGGACTCTCAGCGAAGTGAAACTTTTGCCTGTATATTACAAAAAGCTTTGTCGGTGTCTAATAATAATAAATATACATTAACTCAAAATTATATGGGAGGTGCATACTTTTAAATTGATAATTAGTGCTAATGGTAACACTAATTTACTTTTATTGACTCTCTATTCCTCTAGAGGCTGTTTGTTTTATGGTCCTCCTGGCACAGGTAAAACCTTGGTCGCCAGAGCATTAGCTAACGAGTGCAGTCAGGGAGACAAAAAGGTGGCTTTTTTTATGCGAAAAGGAGCGGATTGTCTGAGTAAGTGGGTTGGCGAATCTGAGCGGCAGCTTAGGCTTCTTTTTGATCAGGTAAGTGAAGTCAGCTAATGTGAGAATATCTTCTTAAGAATACTTAATACACTTGGTCTATAAATATTACACAAACTGTTCATAACAAGTCATATTTACCAATCAGTGTGTTAAATTTAGGATCAGTAATTGGAATTTGTATGTCTTAGAGGTATTTAGTAGCAGTTTCACTAGTACTAATTTAAGATGATTTACAGAATATTTATTGAGGTGGCAACTTGGCATATAATAAATACCATGTTAAGTGCTTTTGAGATCCCTAGATACCACATATAGATTATAATCTAATTGAGGGACTAGAACAAACATAAAAAGTTAAATATCTGTGCAAGAAATATCACAAAGCAGTATATTATTTATTTTCATGAGTTACAAATATACTAGAAGAATTCAGTATTAAATGAATGCTTTTAAAAGGCTGAGTAAGGTAAGTGAATATTATTTGGGCTATCTTTACTACTTATGTATAACTTTAAAAATATCATTTCCTAATACTTATATAAATTAGTCCTGATATAAATTCACTTTTTAATTATTTAGGGTACTGAAGGGGGTCATTCATAAATGGTAATGCAATTTATATCTTGTTATGCCTAAGGAGATTCACATGACACTTTAAAAATGCTTAAAGCAAGCATTTGTTGAATACCCATTACTGAGTTGATGTGTATCAAAGTTCTACCTAATTGGTAAAGCATTTCAAATATTATTTTTAGTTATTATCAGTATCCATGTTAAAGACTGCTGTGTTGCAGATAATGGGTCTAGAAAGAGGGATAAAGTAAAATTGTTAACGTCAAGGTGTTCGATGTCTATTGAGAAGTCAAACATATGCAGTCTTCATGTTTCAAGAGGATTTCTTAATAATTGAAAAATAATGTAAAATAACATCGGTGGTTTTGGGGAGAATCAGCTTGGGAATACTGGCAAATTGTCCAATGACTTAAATTTTTGACAGTGTTCTACTTTTTGCAACTTGATACTGGGTGTAGGAATGTTTCTTGGTTTTATCAAAAACCATAGCATAAATCATGCTGCTTTTTATAGTATTTCTTTTGTTTTATGTTTTGGTTATTTTGGCCGTGAGGCATGTGGGATCTTTAACTCCCTTACCAGGGATCAAACCTGCACCCCCTTCATTGGAAAGTGAAGTCTTAACCACTGAACCACCAGGGAGTCTCCATGTTGCTTTTTAAATCTATATTTACTTTATTTGTGTTTCATTTCTGTTTCTTTGTGGGCAATAGATTTGAAATGTTTTCTTTCTTTTTTTTAAAAAACTGCTTGTAGTCATTATATGTCTTTTTAAATGACAAGAATCTACATTCCTAAATTAAGGATATAATCTGTTCTCTAAATGAGATGAAGGAGGTGCAGTTGGCCTTCCATATCTGCCAGTTCTGCATCCATAGATTCAGGCAACAATTTCATCTCATATTGGTTGAGTTCACAGATGTGGAATCCATGGATATATAGGGCTGACAGTACTATGCTATTTTATGTGAGGAACTTGAGCATCCTCGTATTTTGGTATCTCTGGGGAGCCTTGGAACCAGTGGGGGCCCCCCCCCCGCCCCCGATACTGAGGGTTGACCATACAATATATTGGCTAAGAGTTTGGCCTTTGGTGTCAGAAAAATGTTAGTTCATATCTGACTTTACTATTAAGTATATATGAAAGTGAAAGTGTTAGTCTCTCAGTCTTGTCTGATTCTTTGCGACTCCATGGGCTATAGCCCACCAGGCTCATTTGTCCATAGAATTCTCCAGGGAGGAATACTGGAGTGGGTAGCCATTCCCTTTTCCAGGGGGTCTTCCTGACCCAGGGATTGAACATGGGTCTCCTGCATTGCAGGCAGATTCTTTACCATTTGAGCCCCTATTAAGTATATATATGTGTGTGTGTGTGTGTGTGTGTGTGTGTGTGTGTATATAAAGTATACCAGCCCTATTAAGTATGTAACTTTAAGTAACTGAAAGCATCTGATCTTTATTTGCCTCTTCTATAAAATGGAGCAAATAATGCCTATCTAATTGGACTAATATGAATTTTTCCTAAAAGGAAGTATATATAGTTGACTCTTGAACCATACAGGGGTTAGGGGCACCAACTTCCATACAGTTGAAAATTGGTATATAATTTTTGACTCCCCCAAACTTAACTACTTGATAGGAAGCCTTACCAATAATATAAACAGTTAGCATGAATATTTTGTATTATGTATTATACTCTGTATTCTTATAGTAAAGTAAGCTAGAGAGAAGAAAATGTTAAAATCATGAGATTTGCAATATTGTACTATATTTACCAAAATCAAAGTTTTACATTGCCTGAATATAAGTTGAATTTTCTCTCAATCTATGTCAATATTGTCTTATATAATGCAAAACACTGTAGATGTTATGTATATTTTACTATACATCAAAAATGAACAAATAAAATGAAAACAATTCATATTTGTTAGGTATCACGACTCATGCGTTGATAACAAAGAAACAGCCTTAAATCCTGGTGCTCATTTCTCTTCTTTACTAATAAATGAGAATGGGGCACTGTTTGTATTAAAAACCTGTTCAGACACTCTTTTTCATCAGTGGTTTTCTTAATGGTGTCTGGAAACTTGTCTGCTACCTCTTGGTCAGAAGAAGGTACTTCTTTCTATTACCTTGACTATGTTTTTTAGTTTTTAAAATATAGTTTTTTCAAAGGAAAATGGCATAGCCAATTGGAAAATTACTTAATCTTCAATCCCAATTTTGTTTTCTTTAAACTTAGAAGTGACTTTTGTTGTTGTTTAGTTGCTAAGTTGTATCTGACTCTTTGTGACCCCTGACTATAACCTGCTGGACTTCTCTGTCCATGGCATTTCCCAGGCAAGAATACTGGGGTGGGTTGCCATTTCTCTCCAGGAGATGTTCCTGATTCAGGGATCGAACATGTCTCTTGAGTTGCAAGCAGATTCTTTACCTCTGAAGCCCTAGAAATGACTTAGTGATTTATTGTTTTAAACAAACTCCCACTTTCACCTTTAAATCTACTCATGCTGAATCCTTCCCAGGAGATTGCTCCAGTGTGTATTTCCAGGTCCTTGCTTTGTTCCTTTTACCAAAAAATGCAAACCACAATTCCATTGTGCACCTTTAGGGCTCCAATCACCAAAAATAGGGGAAAAAAATCTTTGGAATGGCCAATCAAGTTGAATTAAAAAAATCCACATGCATGCCAGTGGGTAGGGGCAGGAATCCACTCCTGTGTTCTTGGTCATCTGATGCCACTCCATGAATCCTTGTAATTCACCCTCCCTATCCTGTCCACATATGATTTGAATCCAGTGATCTAGCTTCAAGGATTGGGGTCCAGTGAGCCCTCTCCAGTCCACCTTGACATTTTAAGCCAAACCTGTCTTTAAAATTATTATCATCCTTTGTTGGTATTAATTTCTGCAGGTTTAGATTCTTCACCTTCCTTTTGCTTTAAGTTTTCATAGAATGACCTTGCTTTTTCTTAAATTATATTAGAGTTTGTAGGAATGCTTTTCTTCTATCCTTACATGGAAGCTAATTAAAATATGTCATTAGCATAAAATAGTCTGTTATATGATAAAAGCAATATGAATAGTGTGTTTAAATGTGTTTAATAAAATAGTATGTTTAAAAATACATGTATGTGTATGTGTGTAAATGACACGTATGGCAGAATAAACAAATTGAAAACAGTAGTTAGTTGCTGGGTAGGTAACTCCAATCATTACCTTGTGATTGGAGACTGAGGAGATAGGAGCTTCTCTTTTTCCTCTATAATTTTTCTTACCTGCTGCATGTTGTACCATTTGCTTATATTACCTATTTACTTCTGTTACTTATTAAAAAAACATGGTAATTAAATTAAAAATGAAAACTAATACTTGTTTTCTTTTTATACTAGGCATATTTGATGAGACCTTCTATAATATTTTTTGATGAAATAGATGGATTAGCTCCAGTTCGCTCTAGCAGGCAAGATCAGATCCACAGGTAATATTTCCTAATCTGATTATGTTGAGTTCATATGTTGACATAGTACTAAGACTTAACCCTTGAATTAGTGCTGTGAGGCTTGTAAGGTGCAAGCTGTTGTTTCCTTGAGGAAGACTTCTTTCTTATAGCATGTGTGTGCATGAGTGTGTGTGTGTGTGTGTGTGTGTGTGCGCGCGCGCGCGTGCATGTATGTGCTCAGTCACTCTGTTGTGTCCAACTCTTTGTGACTCTATGGTCTATTCACCCGCCAGGCTCCTCTGTCTTCTGATGTTTGTAGGTAGAATTTTCCTATTTTGAATTGAGCTGCTTAAATTTGTGAGCTTCTGATTTTCATCCTAGCAGTAATGTTTTTATAATATTTTATTTCTTAAAATATTTTTTTGTTTCTCTTGTCGCTGTGAATATTTGTGACTAAGCTTTTGCTTGCCTTTTCCCCACCATTTGGAACCTTCTTTTATATAAAATGTCTGAAATAATCAATTCATAAATGGTACAAAATTTATCAAGTAAATGCTAACAGAAAGCTACTATTGCTGTATTAGACAAAATTGTGTGTAAGACAGAAAGCATTATTATAAGTATAAAGACGATCCCCTTATAATGATAAAAGCTTCAACTTATTAAAAGATGTAATGGTTTAAAATCTGTAATTCCCTAATTACTATATTTCAAACTATATAAAACAAAAATTGACAGAACTGCAAAGTAAGAGTCAAACTGATCATCATTGTGAAAGAGATCATGTACCTCTTGGTAATTAATAGAACGAAGGAGCATAAAATAAATTCTCTGTAGATTATTTGAGTAACTGTGTTATATGAATCTGACCTTGTGTGCATACTTATCTAAGGCAATATAGAATGAACACTAGTTTTAAACATCATTTATAAAAGCTTATCATATATTATGCCTTAAATCACAACTAATTTCCAAAGTTTAATAATATACAAAATGTAAGAGATAACAGACAAGCAGAAAATTTTATGTCTGTTATCAACAGTTATTGCTCTAATTCTAAATAATCTATGGTATTAGTGAAATAAAAATTATAACAGTATATGAACTGCAAACAAAGATATACAGAAATCAAGAAATTAAAAAGTTGCTTCTTTGAAAAAAATAAAATTGAAACCAACCTCTGGCTCAATTGGCCATGATAAAAAAGACATTGATAAAGCAGTATTTAGGAAAAGAAAATATGTTGTTTTAGATTTTGTAAACATTAAAGATTAAGAAGAGGATTAAGGCTTAAACTCAAGAGGTTTAAGTATAAAACTTTTAGCAAAAAACCTGTGGGAAAATTTTCATAACCTGTATGTGAATGTTCATAATATTTTTGGGTAATAACCAAAAATTGGAAACAGTCTAAATGTCCATCAACATGTATATCAACAATTTGGGATATATCATAAAATGGAATATTGTTTTAGCAATGAAAAGGAATAAACTCTTGTTAAACTGTCTCACATGTTAGCAAAGTAATGCTCAAAATCCTTGAACCTAAGGGTCAATAGTATGTGAACCAAGAACTTCCAGATGTTCAAGCTGGATTTAGAAAAGGCAGAGGAACCAGAGATCAAATTGCCAGCATCCACTGGATCATGGAAAAAGCAAGAGAATTCCAGAAAAGCATTTACTTCTGCTTTATTTTTTTCTCTCTCTCTCTCTTTTTTTTTTTTTTCTGCTTTATTGACTATGCCAAAGCCTGAGTGTATGGGTCACAACAAACTGTGGAAAATTCTTCAAGAGATGGGAATACCAGACCACCTTATCTGCCTCCTGAGAAACCTGTATGCAGGTCAAGAAGCAACAATTAGAACTGGATATGGAACAATGGACTGGTTCTAAATTGGGAAAGGAGTACATCAAGGCTGTATATTGTCACCCTGCTAATTTAACTTCTATGCAGAGTACATCATGTGAAATGCCAAGCTGGATGAAGCAGAAAGTGGGGTAAAGATTGCTGGGACAAATATCAATAACTTCAAATATGCAGAGGACAGAAACCTTATGGCAGAAAGCGAAGAGAAATTAAACAGCCTCTTGATGAAGGTGAAAGAGGAGAGTGAAAAAATTGACTTAAAATTCAACATTCAGAAAACAAAGATCTTGGCATCTGGTCCGATCACTTCATGGCAGATAGATGGGGAAACAAAGGAAACAGTGACAGATTTTATTTTCTTGGGCTCCAAAATCACTGCAGATGATGACTGCAGCAATGAAATTAAAAAACGCTTGCTCCTTGGAAGAAAAGCTATGACCAACCTAGACAGCATATTAAAAAGCAGAGACATTACTCTGCCTACAGAGTTCTGTATGGTCAAAGCTATGGTTTTTCCAGTAGTCATGTGTGGATGTGAGATCTGGACAATAAAAAAGGCTGACTGCTCAAGAATTGATGCCTTTGGGCTGTGGTGTTGAAGAAGACTCTTGAGAGTCCCTCGGACTGTAAGGAGATCAAACCAGTCAATCCTAAAGGAAATCAATCCTGAATATTCATTCATTGGAAGGACTGATGTCTGAAGCTGAAACTCCAATACTTTGGCCCCCTGATGCGAAGAGCTGACTCATTAGAAAAGACCCTGATGCTGGGAAAGATTGAAGGCAGGAGGAGAAGAGGACAACAGAATGAGATGGTTGGATGACACTACTGACTTGATGTATGTGAGTTTGAGCAAGCTCCGGGAGATGGTGAAGAACAGGGAAGCCTGGTGTGCTGCAGTCCATCGGGTTGCAAAGAGTCAGACAAGATTGAGCGACTGAACAACAACAAAAATGCACCAACAGTGTGATAAATTTCAAATAATCATGCTGAGGGAAAGAATCCAGTAGAAAAAAAGTATTTACCGTGTGATTCCATCTATATAAAATTTTAGGTAATGCAAGCTAATGTATAGTGACAGAACTTGGATCAGTACTTTGCAAGGGATTGGATAGAGGTCAGGGAGGAGCAGTGGGGATGGATTACAAAGGGTGCAAAGAAGAGCATGATTAATATTACTTTTTTCCTTAATGGTGATAGTTTCACATACTTCAAAATTCAGCAATTTGTGTTTTTTAAACACACCCAATGTATTATATGTCAGTCATATCTTCAGAAGACTTAAACCTGTTTAGAACAATATGAGAAAGTTAATTGGAACTTAATTTCACTTTTGAACATGGATATAAAAATCTTTAAGACTGATAAAAGTTAGTATAAGCAACAGTTTTTGCAACTTTTTCTTTCTTTCCTCTTTAAAATTTTCTTACAGCTCTATAGTGTCAACCCTCCTTGCTCTTATGGATGGATTAGACAATAGGGGTGAAATTGTTGTTATTGGTGCTACAAATAGACTTGATTCTATAGATCCTGCTCTTAGGAGACCTGGTCGTTTTGACAGAGAATTTCTTTTCAACCTTCCGGATCAAAAGGTAACAGTTTCTGTTTTCAATATACTAAGATTTATTTCTCATTTGATTATGAAGTGTGTGTGTGTGTGTGTGTGTGTGTATACACACCAGGCTTCCCTGTTCTTCGCCATCTCCCGGAGCCTGCTCAAACTCACATACGTCAAGTCATATATATATATATGAAAGAAAATATTTGTTATATTATTGGTTTACTTTTGGTAGTTGAATGCCCAGCTTAGACCTTGGAATTGAAGCAATAGCTACTGATTCCAGATTTTGTCAACTTTTGAGCAAAATTTATCCTGATAAGTTCCAAGTTCTTTTTGTCTTGGAGCTAGATCCCAGATTCCTCACTAAGCCAATAATAATTTTATCTTGGTTATAATTTGCTTTTTTTTTTCATTTATTTTTATTAGTTGGAGGCTAATTACTTTACAATATTGTAGTGGTTTTTGTCATACATTGACATGAATTAGCCATGGATTTACATGTATTCCCCATCCCAATCCCCCCTCCCACCTCCCTCTCCACCCTATAATTTGCTTTTTCATAGTCTTAAGAAACTCAAGTAGCAGTGTTGAGGCAATAAGGACTTTAAATTTTAGAAAGTGTTGTTTTTCCCCTGAAAGAAGGCAAATGTGAAAAAACATTCTGATGTGACTTTTCAGCTGATTATGGATTTTTATACTTCAGTGTTTCTTTTTTTACTGTGGGAGAAAAAGAAATTTAATTTGAAACCAAGATGTTAAAATTTTGATTGTGTTATACAGTTAGATTTAAGGTAGAGAATGCTATTTTGAAAGAAAAAAATCAAGGTAAAATTGTTTAAACCTTTGTTTTTTTCAGTGAATTCAATTACTATTCATGGAGATTACCTTGTTATGTATTAAGTGTGAAAGCATTCATGAACTTATATGACAGTGTGTATTATATTTCTTTACTTAATCAAAAACTTCAACTTCAAACTGTAATGACACTTTATGCATGTTAGAACTAAAAGGACCTGAAAAATCTAAATATACAGTTTGTTAGAAGTTATGGTTATTATAATGCATTGAAGTTTTTTGCTGATACATTTTCAGATGGTAAAAATGATGTGGAGGAAAGTGTAATTTAGTTTTGAGTTCTAGTCCTAGATCAAGTTCCTTTACCTCTCAGACTATTACATGTCCTAGTTTGTGAAACAAGGATCTCTACTACATAGCTCACAGGGTTATTATGGGAATCAGAGTTAACACGGCTGCCAAGCTGTTTATGCTTCTTTTAAAATAAACAATTGCTTTTCTGGGTATGGTTAGTTGATGAATTTGTTCCATCTGATACATTTTGGGGTTGATGATATTTTATTTGTATTTTTTTCCTTAGGCAAGATTTTATTTATCTGTGCTTTTCTTCTTAGGCAAGAAAACACATTTTACAGATCCATACCAGGGACTGGAATCCAAAATTGTCGGATGCTTTTTTAGGTGAATTGGCTGAAAAATGTGTTGGTGAGTGCTACTATTTGAATTTTTGATTGTCATTGTTTGTTCTGCTCAGCCTCCTTTTCCCCTTACATTTGGAATGTGAATGAGTATAATTATATTTTTGTGCAATAGATGGCTTTGCCTTCAAATGTAAAAAATTATTTTAAACATTTCACTTGAAGTTTGAACACTTCTAAATTAAAATTTTAGCTGCCATTAGGTGTTTCGATTAACAAAACTCCATAGTAATAATGCCTTTCATTGAGTGCTGGATTTCCAATCTTATTACAGTGTCTCCTTTTAGGAACTGTTCCCTTTCAGAAATTTTACTAAGAAAAATAAGCTTAAACAAGAGGCAAAGATCCATGTATAGGGCAGGACTATAGTCTTTTACTTCACAGATTACATGATGGACTCATCTTCATTCTGGTGGTGTAGAAAGAAGTTGAGTGAGAGGAGTCTTCAAAGAAAACACTTAATGACATCTGCTATATTTCCCTAAATGTTAAACTGTCCAAGTTAATGTTAAATTATTCACAGAGTAGAAGATCTCCTACAGAGTGAATGAACACTATTGCCCTAAAAGGATATGGTGAGAGTATTTTATGTGCATACATAGGAGATGGAATTCAGAGGTTTTAGAATTCAGGAGTTTGGCACTAATTAGGTCTGAAATAAAAATGAATATGGTATTAAGCAGCTGAATATTACACGCAGGTATTTTCCTTTCATTCTTTTTCTGTCTTTTGTCTATTTTTCTCTCATTCTCCCAAAAATATAGATTAAAAAATCTCTCCATGAACTTTTTAAGCATTATGAAGAAGTTCCCCTAATAAGTCCACTAACAATCAGCAGTCTACTTGGGAAAAGTTTAAAGTTACCAAAACCAAAAAGAACAACTTAGTTAAAAAATCATTGTGGTCCACCATCAAATAATTAAAACTTAAATAGAACATTAGTCCATTCAGTTAGCTACATCCGAATTATCCTCTTCATCCACAGGGACCTCCATCTCCGAAGCAGCATACCTCAACTTTTGAACCACAAAGACCTCGACATCTTCTGGTGAGGAGAAAACGTAAATCTCTCCAGCACTACTCCAGTTTAAGCTTTGCCTGGTATAAGAGAGCATGCGCCAAACCCATTTCATGTAAATTTGGCTTGACCTTTGCAAAGCCTTGTGCTGCTTTATGGGAGAGGGTGGTATTTGGTACAAAACCCAGTCTTTGCCCTTTTTGAAAATTTGACCCCTTTTATTTCCTGCTATTTTTATGATATTGTGTTAGAGTACAGATCAGAATGGAAAGTCTTTGTTGATTGGTCTGTGAATTTGTCACAGAATGATCCTTAATTGAAATAAGCAGAAGTCTACAGATAATCTTGGAAATTCCCTGAGTAATCTAAAAATTACTTTTTATTACCCTATCTACCATCTGAAATATTATATACTCTAATTTGTCATCCTAAATATTAGAGTCTCAGTTTTCTTTTTCATTTCCAAAGGCCACTACTTCTCATTTTACCAGGTTATTTATTTTAGTTTTTAGTCAGTTTCTTAAGTTAAAAAAATTTTAAGACATACTTTGTTATAGGACTGAAAAATTTCTCTTGCCTTTTTTGGGGGTGGCATTGCTGGTTTAGAATCTGCTTATATATATACTATTTTCTTCCTGGAGAGTGACATAAAAATTATAATTAATTTAATTATAATTAACTGACTTCTGATTTTGTTTGTGACATTTATTTCATTTAAGAAACCAATTCACATTAAAAAAAATCAAATGCAAGTCTTCAAACAGGAATGAAATAGCAATACACTTTAAATTCATTATGAAGTTACCACTTATGTATCCCAAAGATGTTTTAACATGTATGGGTTCAGTAGAGTGAAATTTATGCCTGACAAAAGAGTAAGCAGGTTGTTGATGAAGAACTGAAAACATGGTTGACCTTTTGTTAGAGGTTATGGATTTGGTAACTTTTATCTTGAAATGAATTCCCAAGTACTTGGAGGTTTGCATGCTTCATAGGTGTGATTTTTAGTAGTCTTCAAGTAATTTCGGTATCCAGAACATGTGCATAAGTAGTAGGAGCTTAAAGTTAATGAAGATCTTCTACCTAATCATATTTGTCTATTCATTCTCACTAAGGTTTAAGCAACGAAAGGGTCTCTGTCAATGAGGCATCTTAGCTTGTGGACCTTCACTGTTTGGTATTTTACTTAAAAAGTAGCTTCATAAAATTTTATTGCCTTTCCTAGTTTATAGCCTCTTTGAATAGTTTATACTTTCAGTCTTTCAGACAAATCTCCATCTTAACAGTACTCAAAATGCCTTTTTTTTTTTTTTGGTGTCTAGATATGTGTATTTATCAGACTATTAGAATTGTAATGGTAGAACTAGTATAGTTATGGAATTCTTATGGAAGGGATTTTGATATTTTCGCTAATATCAACTTTTAACTCTCAAAAGAGGCTATATTTCAGTATTTCTAGAATAGTCATATCACCTATTTTCTAAACCAGGACCCTTTGAGAGTGAAAAAATATGCTGTTTAGGCAAGTGACCTAAACCGGGACATGTGATCACACTTAATATATAAGCTATTTAGCCTAGTTATGATATACCTTTAATCCTGTTTTAGAGTCTGGTAAGGAAAGTGTATAAAGTATTGGGGTCGCATGGGGTCCCAGTGTGGTCACAAAAGAGTCAGACATGACTTAGTGACTAAACAAAAGGAAAGTACATTATTAACTCAGTAGTTCTTATTTTTTTTGTTTATCAGAATGACTGGTAGTTTTCTCAAAATACGTATTTATGATATTAAACCACCACTTAGTGATTCTGATTCACTAAGTTTGTTGGTAACCTATTGTTGATTCATTTTCTTTGTTTATTCAGACTAATCAAGGTTGACAACCACAGATATAAACTAGTAATTCTCATTCATAAACAAATGTAACAAAGATAAATCCTGTAATTTATAGTCTGTTGGTTATGATAATCCATGTGAAAATTAATTTTTTTCAAGTAAAACTTTATTACTAATGATGAAATTCAAACTTTCAAGGAAAAAATTAGTTTTTTTTTTTTTAACAAAATGGATTATAAACTACACGGCAGTTCTCAAAGGGTGCTGTATGACTTATATTTGTCACTGTGAGCTGACAGCTTGCTAACACTTAAAAGACTGTAGTGATGAGACTGTGGTAATATTAACAAATGTGATTTTTGGTATTGTTAATAAAATGTGTCAATATAAAAACATCCATATAATTTAGGGAAGGAAATTTACTTCTTTAAATGGCATCTATTACAGTTGATAAACTCTAAAGTTATCTTTAATAAGTTAAGAAAAAATGAACAGTAGATTGCTAATTATATTATTAACATATTATATCAAACACAAATGTTACGGGCAACATTTACTATATAAAATAACTTTTAGTGACTTGTTCTGTTCTGCATTGTTTTTGAGCATTTTTTTGAGCATTTTTTTGGTCTTTTTTAACTTAGACTTTTTGCACTTAAAATTGGGTCATATAGGATGTTCAGTAACTGTATATACTTTTAAAGACGTAAAAGGAGTGTGGTTTATATTTTTTGAAGGTGGTAGTTTACTCTTTACTTCCTCTGAAATGAATTGTTTGATTAACTTTATGTCTGAGCTAGTGTTCTACAGTCATTTTGTTGAACTAATGTTACAGATATGTATGGAATAGGAAAAGATAGGGTTTTTTTGGGGGGGGGTGTGATTCATTCCTTAAGAAGTAGAAAATAAAATGGAGAGTGATGGTGTGATCACTCACCTATAGCCAGACATCCTGGAGTGTGAAGTCAAGTGGGCCTTAGGAAGCATCACTATGAACAAAGCTAGTGGAGGTTGTGGAATTCCAGCTGAGCTATTTCAAATCCTAAAAGATGATGCTGTGAAAGTGCTGCACTCAATATGCCAGCAAATTTGGAAAACTCAGCAGTGGCCACAGGACCCGAAAAGGTCAGTTTTCATTTTAATCCCAAAGAAAGGCAATGCCAAAGAATGCTCAAGCTACTGCACAATTGCACTCATCTCACAGGCTAGTAAAGTAATGCTCAAAATTCTCCAAGTGAGGCTTCAACAGTACGTGAACTGAGAACTTCCAGATGTTCAGGCTGGATTTAGAAAAGGCAGAGGAACCAGAGATCAAATTGCCAACATCCGTTGGATCATAGAAAAAGCAAGAGAATTCCAGAAAAACATCCATTTCTGCTTCATTGACTACACTAAAGTCTTTGACTGTTTGGATCACAACAAAGTGTGGAAAATTCTTCAAGAGATGGGAATAGACCACCTTACCTGCCTCCTGAGAAACCTGTATGCAGGTCAAGAGGCAGCAGTTAGAACTGGACATGGAAGAACGGACTAGTTCCAAATTGGGAAAGGAGTATGTCAAGGCTAATATATTGTCACCCTGCTTATTTAACTTCTATGCAGAGTACATCATGTGAAATGCCGGGCTTTGTGAAGCACAAGCTGGAATCAAGATTGCTGGGAGAAATATCAATAACCTCAGATATACAGATGACACCACCCTTATGGCAGAAAGTGAAGAGGAACTAAAGAGCCTCTTGGTGAAAGTGAAAGAGGAGAGTGAAAAAACTGGCTTAAAGCTCAACATTCAGAAAACAAAGATCATGGCTTCTGGTTCTGTCACTTCATGGCAAATAGACGGGGAAACAATGGAAACCGTGACAGACTTTATTTTCTTGGGCTCCAAAATCACTGCAGATGGTGACTGCAGCCATTAAATTAAAAGACGCTTGCTCCTTGAAATAAGAGCTATGACCAACCTAGACAGCATATTAAAAAGAGATATTACTTTGCTTACAAAGGTTCATATAGTCAAAGCTATGGTTTATCCACTAATCATGTATGAATATGAGAGTTGGACCATAAAGAAAGCTGAGTGACAAAGAATTGATGCTTTTGAACTGGGATGCTGGAGAAGACTCTTGAGAGTCCCTTGGACTGCTAGGAGATCAAACCAATCAATCCTAAAGGGAATTGAATATTCACTGGAAGGACTGATGCTGAAGCTGAAACTCCAATACTTTGGCCACCTGATGTGAAGAACTGACTCATTGGAAAAGACCGTGATGCTGGGAAAGATTGAAGGCAGGAGGAGAAGGGGACAATGGGGGATGAGATGGTTGGAAGGCATCACCGACTCTATGGATATGAGTTTGAGCAAGCTCCAGGAGTTGGTGAAGGACAGGGAAGCCTGGTGTGCTGGAGTCCATGGGGCTGCAACAACACTAATGAGTGACTGAACTGAATTGAACTGAATGGTAAACTTGTTTTTTTCTGAGGAATTTTTGGGAAATTGATTGCTGGCATGGGACAGTGTTCAAGCTTCATCTGCTTATCCTTTTCTGAATTAAATTCTCATAGGACATAGTAAGTTTTCCCCTACCTCTTAATAAATGTTCCTTTTAAGAATACAATACTTAATAATTTTAGTTGAAATTTTTAGTCCCAGTAAGTTGGTTTAATAGTAAAAGAACTTAAATTTCTTGGGAATAAAAAAAAAAAAAAGCCTAGTAGATAGGATTCATTGTTCCCCCTTTCCTGTTATACATGGTAACTTAACAGTTTTATGTTTCCAGACTATAACCTTGCTGTTAACTTTTTTCTCTTTTCATTCATTCTTTCACTCAGGAAATTATTGGATATCTATTGAAAGCCAGGCCAGACATTGTTCTTGGTATTTGAGATAGATAAACACTTAGTGAACAAGACAAATAATCCTAGAGGTCATTTTCTAGTTGGGGAAGGCAGATAATAAAAATATTAAGTAAATGATAAGGTGATAAGTGCTGTGGAAAAAGGAGAGCAGGGTAAGGAGTTTTCTGTTGCGTGTAGAACTTGGTTAAGGTGATATTTACTGATAATAGGGATATAGTTTATTATAGAAGTGTGAGTCAGTTTGATTTATATGGTTTTGTTCCTTAATGTTCTTTTTCTGCCAGTTAATCTGGGACTATTTCTTCTCTGCTTATATTTTTCCTGTCTAATCACCATTTTAATTTCAGTACCTAAGTGTTCTACAAGGTCATTGTAAGATATAAAATGAAATAAATATGATAACACCCCTGGAAGAACTTAGGGACTAATGTTCTGTAACTAATTTGAGTGGTTCCCCCTGCTGGCGTAACTGACAAAGGTGGCCAAATGTAGGTTTAATCAGTAATGTAAAAAACCAACCACGACTAGTTTGAGTTTTCTTCTTTGTTTTGTGTTAAAGACCTGACAGTTCATATATTTTTCTATGTATTTGTTGCTCAAATGAATGAAATGACTGACTTCACTGGCAGCTCGATCAGTTATTTTACTTGATGATCACTTAAATATGGGTAATGGATGATGCCTCATGTCTCTATAGCCCTTTGAACTAGATTATCAATCACTTTAAGCTAAAAATATATATAAAAAGGAAATTAACGTGAAAAATGGAAGAATTCTCATTCCTTTTAGTACCTTTGGAATTATCAGAGATGCTTACAACTTTATAGTTTTGGGGATACTTAGATATTAACCTGCTTCTACCTTGCACTCAGAGTTGGTAGTAGAATAGCTCTGATTTTGAAGTTTCTGCTTATGTATACTACTTTGTACTGCTTCATTATAGCTGTTTGAAATTAGTAATATTAGAAAAATTTATGGAAAACTAATGCCTTAAGGACTAAACTGATGATTAGGAATATTGATGAAGGATTGATATGATGTTATTTTTCTTAAACCTTTCTTGAAGAAAGATGTACATTATAACCAGTGGTCTTGGCACAAAAATATATGACTTCTTTTAATATCATTAGTTTATGTATTTGTTAATATTCAAAGCATTTTTAGTTAATGGATAAATGGTTTTATTAGATGTTTTTAAAGGGTCATTTTTCATTTTGCTAGTAAAATTGCCCATAATAATTGATTTAATATTAGTTTTTTTGGATAAAGATGTACATATTTGCAAAATATAATTGGTACTTGGAAAAATGGACTTACCTTTGTTATCCTTTTCCCTTTTGTGCATTAGGCTATTGTGGAGCTGATATTAAGGCCCTGTGCACTGAAGCTGCCCTGATTGCCCTGCGGAGGCGTTATCCCCAGATCTATGCTAGCAGTCATAAACTGCAGCTAGATGTTTCCTCAATCGTGCTCAATGCCCAAGATTTTTACCATGCAATGCAGAATATTGTGCCTGCTTCCCAGCGTGCTGTCATGTCTTCGGGACATGCACTGTCTCCCATCATAAAACCACTGCTGGAAAGAAGCTTCAACAACATCCTAGCTGTCCTGCAAAAAGTGTTTCCTCATGCTGAGATTAGCCAGAGTGACAAGAAAGAAGGTAGTATAAATTCTCTTTTCATACTGTTTAAATGAAATAAGTATGGGCATAAGTAAATAAATTGAATATCCTTATAAAAGTATTTGTGTGTTACTCTTTTATATTTGCCATGAATATAGGAGATGTATCTATTTCATTTGCCACTGTATTCTAGACCTAGCATATGCCTGGCATACAGTAGTTGCTTACTCAGTGTCTATAAGAATAATGAATGGATATTTGTTCGGAATATTTGTTCTGTTTGTTTACTCTTGGGACTATCTGACTATCTTAATATAGGAGTGTTACCATCTTTAGGAAAATTGACTGTAATAGTATTGGTTTACATTTCTCTTATTATTATAAAGTGCTTACATAAATTGTCATTTATTAATCCTCATAATAATGGGGTAGGTACTCTTACTCTATCAAAAATGAAGATATTCGCTTATATAAGGTCACTCAGTAAGTTCTAGGTCTTGCTCAAACCCAGGGAGCCCAACTCCAAAGGCAGTGCGCTTAACCATGTTGTTATAATGTCCCTCTGGATTCAGCTCATCATATTGCTATTATTGGCACAGCACTCCATAGTGTGCTGTGCTAATGGAGTGTAGTTTATTAGTAAGGGAGTAAATTAGAACCTGATTATAGATGGTCTTGAATTCTGGCCTCATGATTGTAGTTTGAATTTGAGAAAAAAATAGAAAGCTACTTTAAAAAATGTTACTTATTTATAGGAAAACTTTAAGTTTGTATGCTAATCAAAGTAAAGCCCATGAACTTTGAAGAGACAGTAATTTTTAAAAATTGTCTTAATTTTCTTTGTTTAGCATGTAGTTTTCACTGTAGAGAAAATTGTTAGTGAATTATGTTAATGTTATAACTGTTATATAGAGTAAAAATCATCAGTAGTCAGTGAATTTTGCTGTTATAAATATATTTTCCAGAAACTTTTAAAGGTAGATTCTCATGAAATATCACATTGATTACTTGATTTCTTAAATTTGTCAAATGAGAATAGATATTATATATGATATATATATTATATAGATATTATATATGAGCCAGCTACTCTGCCATGAACTGTACATTTCTTGTCTCTGAGAATCTGTATATTTTCCCTAATTTTTTTAAATTAAACTATGTTACCTTTAGAAAATCATAAAAATCTACCTCCTCTTCTGAGAGATTATAACTTCTTTATTTCCATTTGAGAATTTTTTTATGACATTATTAGCTATGTTTTCTTACCACTTTTTTCCCCATAAGTATTAAGTATGCTTTAGATCCATTTTTTTCTTTATATGCCAGTGGAAGGGAGAAATCACTTTGATTATTAATAATAATTTTTAGTTATTAGATATATTATTCTGGATTATTTTGGTCTTTAATATTTTTCTTAGCAAGTGTCCTTGTATATGAATTATCAATCAAATGGTACTTAATTATTTGATTAATTTTTATAATATTAGTCATGTTAAATATTTGACTTTTAAAAGCCACTGAATTGTGCACAATTCAAGACCTCATTTTAGAAGGCATACCTCTTTTTTTCCTTGTTTTCTTTGGGGAAGGGTATGATTTCTGTCGATTTTAATTTCCTCACATTTCTCCTATACATGTAGCATTGCTTTTTATTGAATGAATTGACACTTTTGTTAAGTATGTGTGAATTACAGCTATAATACTTTAGGTTGCAGTCTAGGTAAATTTTTAAGTATGGCACTCTTAATAGGAATTTTAGTTCCAGTTGTTCATTGAGCAGTAACTTAAGACCCATAAAGAGACTAATGTTGAATGAGTGTGTTTTCTAAGATTGGCTTTTTTCCCACTAAATTCCTGAGTCCCTTCTTAACTAGACTAGATTTTCCTTGAAATGTGTGTGTGTATGCCATGTGAAAAAAATAAAGGTCAATTTATTCCTTGTTGCTTTTGTAAGAACTGGGCCATACTTCAATTACTCTATTAATTAAACCATTTTATATTAAATGCACTGGTTTTGGTGAAAATTAGCTTAGAGATTCTTAGTAAGTAGGTGAGAACTTTATGAGAGTGCCATTTCTTTTCCAAACTTCTTGTAGTTATTCTCCAAAAATGTATCTCATAATACTTCAGTAGTCTGTACAGGTGAAAGAATTACATTGGTTCCATTTATAACTTACTCAAAATACTGTAGTTTGTCATTTTCCTGATCAGTTTGTGTTATTTGATAGATAACTTGTTACTGCCACTTGTTTTTTTAATCAGTTTTCCTTAGCTTTGGTAGGTCAGTAGTATTAAATGACTTCTTAAGCCTCATAATCTTTGTGTTCTTTTTAAAACAGACATAGAAACTTTGATTTTAGATGACAGTGAAGATGAGAATGCTTTATCAATTTTCGAGACAAGTTGTCACTCAGGATCACCAAAGAAACAGTCATCGGCTGCTGCTGTACATAAACCTTACCTTCATTTTACAATGTAAGCAACTGATAGCAAATTTCTCCACTTAGACTGATTTTTACTACTTTATGGTTAGAGTTGCAGTATAGTTTTACTTACGGTTATAACCTTGAGGACTTTTTTTTCCTGTTGTTTGGACATAGTTCTGGAAAATTTATATTGTGCTTTTGTTTTTGTGTGGTAGTAATTTGGCTTATTGGTCAACTAAAGATATTTTTCCTTAAACTGATTGTGGGATTCCTTTTTTTTTTAAAGTAGGATAGAAGGCAGGGTTACCTTTAGAAAGTCAGTCCATGTCCCCAGTATTCTTGCTTTTTATTTCAACTGAACAGAAATGAAATATTTACTGTGATCTAGAGTATTTTGATTGTAATAAGTTTCACATGATAATTTAGGACTCTAAGGGTACTAAGAGATTTTGAGTTAGAAATTGCTTAGTAATTAAATCAATAACTTTCTGATTGTCCACAACCTCATCAGTTTACACTTTCTAATTTAGATTTTATGTTTTTTCTATTTACCTTTATTTATAGTAAAGCAGCTTTTGCTATACACTTCAATAGGTAAACAGTTTTAGTGCTAATGTAATTTTAAAGTAAGACGTTAAATAGTTTTCAAATAGTAACAGCATCATCAACTTGCATTTACATAATTATCAGCATAGTTGAAGCACTGTAATGCTCCAGTCAGGTAGGTCTAATAGGATTTTTTTTATAGGACTTTTATTAGAAGCCATTGTGTGTATTTTTTAAAGTAATGTTTCTTTAGAGAGATTTTGAATGAATTTAAGTCTTCAACATTAATGAAGTTTCTCTCATAGATTTTGGTGAAATGTTAATTTGATTATTTGCATTGATAACCCTTCCTTGTTTTTCAGTTTTTAAAATGAGACTAAATCACTTTAATTTACTCTTTAACAGCAAACTATCCTGTTAGTAACTTTTGTCTTCTACTGGCAGAGCCTTTCTTTTATGCCTTCTGGGAAGTTTTCTGACACTATTTTAGTAATTTTACAAATCTGTTTATTAAGGGAAAACAAAATGATCATTTTTTTCTGACTTTCACCTGGTTAGCTGTGTGTGTGCTATTTGTTTTAACAGTTTTAGTTGTTTGAATTTGAAATACATAGTAGAAGCCAAGAAACTGTCAAAAGACAAGTTTTTCAATTTTATATTAAAAACATTCTGTCACTGACTTAATGTATATCAGTGCCATGGTTTATTTTGTTTGACTTAGCCTTTCTGAAGAAATTGCTCTTTTGCATAAGCTTTTCTAATTCATTGATTTGACTTTGATTTAATAGTGAGACAGCTGTATCCTAGGATGAACTTTTTAAAGAGATGTTTTGATAAAATTAGTTTGTTTATTTACTCATTCTGCCATTTTTTTTTAAACCCTGTGCCAGGCACTGTACTAGATGCTGGAAACATGAATAAGATATAGTTCTTATTCTGGAAAAGTTCTTGTTCTTGTGAATGACAAGCATTAGGATATGGCTGGTGTTTTGAAAACAGAACTAACAGACTTGCATAGGGAAGTCCAGAAATGCTTTACAGAAAAAATGGTGACAGTTGCTGTCCTTTTGAGTATAGGAGTTAGCATTTGTTGCTTATTACAAACAAGACATGTGGTAGGTGTATAAAGCAGGGCTTCATATATGGTAATACATACAGGCCTCTCAACAGTCATTTAGCATTTGTGGTATCGTCATTTTATAAATGAGGAAACTGAAGTACAAAGAAGTTAAGTAAATTGCCCATGATCATGCTGCTAGCAGGGGGCATACTTGGCACTGTTTGTTTCCTGGGACCATATTCCTTCTGTTGTACTGTGTGGTTTCCAAATTGATTTCTAAGCTTAATAGGTTTTTATGGGTAGGTTGGATGATATGATTTTTCACTTTCCAAGAAATATTTACCTTAGAAAATAAGCCTTTAATAAGGGTTGCACACATATTTTGTTTTTGTTGATTTGGTTTGGTTTGGCTTTTTTGTTTGAGCAACATGTGTTAGCATGTCAGATTAATACAGAAAAGATGCTGGACAAGTAGAAAGCATGACTTGAATGCTGGTGTCAGTAACACTAGCTCAGGCATTGATGGTGCGTTTCTGTTTCTGGAAGAGTTTCCTAAAACTGTTGAAATCTTTTCTTTAGATTTACGAAGAAATAGAAGTCAAAGTATTTAAGGTCTGTCGATCTGATAAAGAACCCTTATGATGGAAAATAAGTTTTCTTTCTTACTGTATATTACCATAAAGGGATTAGAAACAGAACTTTCTGAGGTTTTCCAAATGAAAATAGCTTTGTTTTTTCTGATTAGAAAGATGATATACTCTGTAGAGAATTCAAGTAAAAAAGAAGAGCTTAAAGAAGAAAGTAAAATTAAAGCCCAAGCACCTGAAGGTAATATTTGTTAACATTTTGGTGACCACACTTGGTATTCTTGCTATCCATATAGACAGACCCATATATTATTTTATATAATTTATAGTCTTCATAAGGCTGTTAATGTAACTTGCCTTTCCCCCCTTATTATGTTAGAAATTTTATTTCATGTCAATATATGTCTAATGTCATTATTTTAAAATAGTAACTGCATGGTATTTTTTAAATGTTTCACAGTTTATAATAACCTTATTGATAGAAATGGAAGTTTCCACTTTTCGTATTTTATAAACAGTGTTTATTTATGATAGACATCTTTCTAAGTATATATCTTTATACCATTTTCTGATGCAGACCTTAGGGAAGATTTTAAAAACTGATGCTGTGGTCAAAGTGTGTATATGTTTAAAAACCTGATAGAAGTTGTTCAATTACCTTCCAGAAAGGTTGTACCAATTTATATTTCAGCACTGATGTACGAAAGGGTTATGTTTCTATTCCCTTTTCATTTCTGAGTGCTGTTTGTCTTTTAAAATCTTTACCAACTAGATAGATGAAAATAATACCTTTTTATTTATATGAATCATTCGTTCTTTCATATAGTCTTTCACTCATGCAGATCTTTTGTCAAGGTGCTTATTGTGTGCCAGATGTTGCTCTAGGTAATTGGATCCATGTTAAGATGCCTGCCCTTATTCAGCTTGCATTTTAGATGGAGACAGACAGTAAAACAGTCAGCGTGCTAGATAAAATGTTAGAAGATAACTACTGTGGGGAAAAATGTAGAGAGCACTCAGAGATAAGGGAATCTTTGAGAGTAGGATGCATTATAGAATATCTTTGGCTATATTACATTTTGGCATATATTTGCCATATTTAATTTCAGAAAGTTGTGCTTTTTTCCATTCTCACTATTCATGAGAATACCAATTTTCCCACCATCTACTTACTAGTAAGAGTATTATAATCTTCAGTTTGCCAATCTAATAGATAAATAATGTTTCTGAATATTTTCATTATTTTTCACCTTTGATAATAACTGCCAAATCTTTCTCAAGCCTCCATCACTCTTGAGCTTTAAGCTTTGTCCAGCTGCCTGTCACCCTACGCTGTGTCACAGATCTTTGTGTGTGCTTGCTTGTGTCTCTCCTTCTCTTCCCATCAGTCCTCTGAGCTACTATCCATTCAGTTGTCCTGACTGAAATTGGACACCATTCCCAACTCTTTCTCTTTCTTCCCTTCTATATCCAGTAAGTGACCCAATCCTATAGATTTTTCTTACTAAATAAGTCTAATCTCAAGCTCTTCCTTCTACCTCCTCTGCTACTATCCTTGTCTACACTGTTATTAACATCTCATGCTTGCGTTATTATATAGCATACCTCTAACTGGTCATCTTTCCTATGGTTTACCTTCTTTCAAAAACTCTTCCCTGTACTGATATGCTGAGTTAGAGTTACTATCCAAAAACATGTGTATGCTTACATCACTTCCCCTGCTTGAGCATCTTTTAAAAAAAAAATAATTTTATGTATTTACTTATTTTTGGCTGTGTTAGGTCTTCACTGCTGTGCAGGCTTTTTCTCTGTTGCACTGCGTGGGGGCTGTTCTCTCGATGCAGTGCGCAGACTTTTTGTTGCAGAGCGTGGGCTCTTGGCGCACAGGCTTCAGTAGTCGCAGCACATGGGCTTAGCAGTTGCAGCTCCTGGGCTCCAGAGCACAGGCTCAACAGTTGTGGCCCAGGGGCTTAGTTGCTCCATGGCATGTGGGATCTTCCAGGATCAGAGATCGAACGCGTGTCTCCTGCATTGGCAGGCAGATTCTTTACTATTGACCCACCAGGAAAGCCCTACTTAAGCATCTTAATGTTTCCTCATTGTCTTCAGTGAGGATATGGCTTTTAACATGGCTTAGAGAACCCATCATAGCCCTTTGCAGTCTGATTCTCTTTCCCAATTCCCCTCCTTTACCCCAATATCTTTACTCCTACATTGTCCTAAAATCTTGAAAGAAGCTAGCAGTAATGAACTATATCTACTACCCCAAAGGGCCAAGAGATTTTTTTGGCCTCTGGTTCTTTGTACATCCTGTTTGTATTTCTTGAAATTCATGCTTTCTGCCTTTGATCTGTTGGATTTTTGTGCTTTCATAATGCTTTGTCAGGAAAGTTATCTGTGAGTCTCTAATAGCACCATGTACTCAAAGGTTGTTCCTTATTAATTTATTTCCTTTTTCCAATAAATACACTGTGTCACGAACTCTGTAGTAACAGTGTATTGGTGGATACTTTGGGCCAAAGTATTCAACATAGGAAGCAGCCAAAAATTGATAAATGAATGATCGTTTTAAGAAGTCACTTCTTTCTATTTTCTTTTTGAGTTGTCTACATCCTTTGTATAAGAAGGTATTTTTGGTTAAAATACTGTGCATATAAGCTCTTTATGCATTAAAATCAGTCCTGTTAATGGCAGATTTAACTATCTCATTTGACTGTTTGCTGTTTGGTTCAGATTGTAATTTTTTTTAATTTATTTTTTTATTGAAGGATAATTGCTTTACAGAATTTTGTTGTTTTCTGTCAAACCTCATCAGTCAGCCATAGGCACACATATATCCCCTCACTTTTGAATCAACCTCCCATCTCCCATCCTGTCCCACCCCTCTAGATTGATACAGAGCCCCTTGTTTGAGTTTCCTGAGCTATACGACAAATTCCTGTTGGCTATTTTACATATGGGCTATACGACAAATTCCTGTTGGCTATTTTACATATGGTAATGTAAGCTTCCATGTTACTCTTTCCATATATCTCACCTTCTCCTCCCCTCTCCTGAAGTCCCTAAGTCTATCTCTATGTCTGTTTCTCCATTGCTGCCCTGTACATAAATTCTTCAGTACCATTTTTCTAGATTCATATATATGCGTTAGAATACAATATTTATCTTTCTCTTTCTGACTCACTTCACTCTATATAATAGATTCTAAGTTCATCCACTTCATCAGAACTGACTCAAATGCATTCCTTTTTATGACTGAGTAATATTCCATTGTGTGTATGTACCACAACTTCTTTATCCATTGATCTGTCGATGGACATCTAGGTTGCTTCTGTGTTCTAGCTATTGTAAACAGTGCTGCAGTGAACAATGGGGATACATGTGTCTTTTTCAGTTTTGGTTTCCTCAGGGTATATGCCTAGGAGTGGGACTGCTGGGTCATATGGTGGTTTTATTCCTAGTTTTTAAAGGAATCTCCATACTGTTTTCCATAGTGGCTGTATCAATTTACATTCCCACCAACAGTGCAAGAGCGTTCCCTTTTCTCCACACCCTCCCCAGCATTTATTGTTTGTAGACTTTTTGATGATGGCCATTCTGACCGGTGTGAGGTGATATCTGATTGTAGTTCAGATTATAATTTTTGAATAACAAATGTTTTTAGATTTTTAAGAATTAAAAATACATGAATCTTTTGTTTTTTTGTTTCTATGTTAGAATTCATTTTGTTCTGTGAAATGAGGGTCTGTATCCTTCCTATTTAAAAACAATATTTGTGTTATAGTTCATCTTCATTCCATTTATCTTTATGCTTATTATCTTATATAAAATTCTTTTAATTAACTGTGATTTGTTTTCTGGGCTGCTATTAAGTTCCACTAATCAGGGTTTCTTTTCTCTGGTGTATTCTACATTCTGTTATTCTGTTCTGTAATATGTGTCAGTATAAAGTAAGGCACATCTTAATGTACTGTTTTAGAACCTGGGCTTTGCAGTTGTATGGACACCAAGCTGTGTAATCTTATAGCGAACTTCTCTGGGCCTTGGGTTCGTTACTGTTTAGTAAGAGGAGACTTATGTATTTCATAGAATTGTTAAGAAAATTAAACAAGAAATTTGTATGAAGTGCTAGTTACTAAAATAGGTTTAAATGTTCTGAAATTGAAGCTCGCACACTTTTCCAGTTGATATTTTTACTTGATTATTTTTTCAGATAATGTTGCAAGGAAGTTTTAAATCTCCCTCCTGCATCAAATTTTATTTTGGGATTTTTGATTTGCATTTTTAAAAATCTATAAAATAAAATACCATAAACTAACCATGGTTAACAATAGTGAAAGTGAAAGTCGCTCAGTCCTGTCTGACTCTTTGTGACCCCATGGACTCTACAGTCACTGTATAGTATTCTATACAGTCCACTGTATTCTATACAGTCCATGGAATCCTCCAGGCCAGAATACTGGAGTGGGTAGCCTTTGCCTTATAGTTAGCAATAGCTAGGTATAAATGCATAGAAAGATTTGATGTCTGTATTCAGGCCCATGGTGTATTCCAAATAGTTCTTCATCTCTCTTGTTAAGGTTTTTTATTATTGTTTATGATTTGTATATTTAGTATTGTTTATCATTTGTATTTTTACAGATGTGAATAGAATCTTCTTTCCTTCTTTGTATTGGTTATTGATGGTGTTTAGGAAAATCTTTCAGTTTTTCTATTTCCATCTTCAGTCTTGTTATTTTGTTGGTAGGCTATGGGAGTGATTAGTTGATCCTCTTGGATTTTCTAGTATACAATCCTGTTCTTTACAAGTAACAGTGTTTGTCCTATTTCTTTCCATTAGTTCCATTTTAAAATTTGCTTTATTATTATTGCATTGCTTAGAATTTCCTGCGTTAATGTACAGTGATATTAGATAAACTTGTTTCATTTATCTTTTTAGTGGTGCTGTAGAATCTTGAAAATACAAGTTGATTTTGGTTTAATATGTTATCCTAAACTGGCCTTCTCCGGTGTAGGGCTTTAGATGTTATCTACTAGGTTAAGAACAGTTAGTTTTTATTGGCCTAGAAACAAAATTGCTGCCACTAAAGAAGTCCTACTTTTTTTTTTTCTATTTTAAAAATTGTAAAATATGTATGAAGTCTACCATTTTAACCATTAATAAAGAAAACCCTACATTTGGAATAATCTTAGATGTATATCTTTATTAGAGAAGTGGAATTCTTAACATTTGACCTTGGATAATTAATAACTAGGTCACACTTAGTATGTGAAGCATTTTCCAAGTTAATATATGTGGTATGAGAAGATGAATACCCAGGTAGTCTGACTTTCTTTCAGAATGGACTTTTATACTTTTATGTCTTTGTTGTTAATATGGTTAGAGAGATCAATATTTTAAAACTGTAATTAATGAAAAAATGATTCACTGTACTTAAAAAGTGAGAGAAAAGCTCTATTAATTTGGTGTTAATTCTTTTATGTAATTATTTTCCTAATATTTCATCTTGATCTTCAGAGTGTATGGTTTTGAAATAATGATTATATATTATATGTATTGCAGGTCACCATATCATCAGCCAACCTCTTACAGGCCAAGATTATTGCTGTCTGGAGAACGAGGCTCAGGTCAAACTTCTCACCTTGCTCCAGCACTTTTGCACACTCTAGAAAAGTTCTCTGTGCATAGACTAGATCTCCCAGCACTTTATTCAGTTAGTGCCAAAACACCTGAAGAGTCATGTGCACAGGTAGGTTTGCACTGTATCAGAGTATTTCCAGCTTTCTTATTATTTATATCACAATAGTCTTTGATAGATAAATTTTTCTCAAAGAACAGTAATATAAATATTAACTTTTTGTTGGTTGCTAGCATTATAATATTAAGGCAGAGGATCCTTTTGGTTTTTTAAAATGAGATCAGTTTTCCCCATGATACTTCATTTTTTCTGAAATTTTAATAATCCTATTTCTTGTATTAAAGCTCTATTAAACAGTATAGAAAGGGAACCTCTTTTTGCCTTTTTTTGACCCTTTTTACAGGGACTCTTTAAACTTCTGTCTGTACTTAAGAGCCTTATCACAGTAAGGGAGATAATATCAAGTTTGCGAAAGCCAAGATTTAAAATTAGTTTAGAAAACTGATAGCAATTTTAAAATTATATATATTTGTTTTAATAATCAAGTGTGTTTGATATTTAATTTTCCAATACTTTATCTTTGCTAGCTTATGAAGCCATTTGATGTTTTAATATATAACTGTGAATTTATTACAAGTGTGTCATGTTGGAACTAGGGGCTAAGGGAATAAGTTTTTTGAACCAAGGGACCATGTCTTCACCATTTCTGTGTCTCTGACACAGTGCCCACCTCATAGTAAGTACTCATTAAATATTTGAGTGTCATCTTCTACTTTGACATTTAGCCTATTTTTAGAGATTAGACTACTGGAGTAGTAACACTTAAGAGCGTTGCACACAGTTTTTTTTTTTCCCCCAATTATAGTTCATATATATTTAATGCATATACTATCTAACTGACAACCATTCTGCACCTTGTAGCAAGATAGAGTTTTTAAAATAGTTCATAGTTCAGTTCAGTCACTCAGTCGTGTCCGATTCTTTGCAACTCCATGGACTGCAGCACGCCAGGCCTCCCTGTCCATCACCAACTCCCGGAGCTTACCCAAACTCATGTCTATTGAGTCAGTGATGCCATCCAACCATCTCATCCTCTGTCGTCCCCTTCTCCTCCCACCTTCAATCTTTCCCAGCATCAGGGTCTTTTCAAATGAGTCAGCTCTTTGCATCAGGTAGCCAATAGTGTCAGATTTATTTCTCTTTTACTCAACAGTTCTTTGGGTATTAACATGCTAGCAGTATTTCACTACTTATAAAGACCTAATTAAAGGGTTTTTTTCCCAAAACCCATGGCCTGCCTAAAAAACTGTGTACCAGTGATTTTCTCCAAGTTTTATACATTTAATTTATCCTGGCTGTGAGTGTTCTCCAATAAGGTTGATTTATATGTTTGCTCGTGTTTTTTTTAATGAGACAAAATTATTGTAGTTTTTATGCAAGTAGGAGAATAACTCAGTACCATTTAAAATAAATCCAAGTGATGTACTAGGAAAATATAAATTAACAAAGTGACTTCAGAGGAGAGAGAACCTAAATAGACAATAGTTGTGGAAGAAGAAATTGAGTGTCAAAAAGCACTAAATCCAAACAATTTCATAGGTGAATTCTTTTAATCTTAAAGGTTAAGATTATTTTGATGCTGGTTAAACTGTTCCAAAGCATAGAAAAAGAAGATGTGAAATCATAAAAAAGAATGGTGCTAAACCTTTGAAAGAAATACAAAGAAAATTGTAGACTAATCTCACTTAGACAGTGGTCATAAAGTAAATATTCCAAATTTATCTAGTAGCACATTGAAAGAGTAATGTACTATTACTAAGGCATGCAAAATTGATTCCATTAGATATGGAGAAATATAAATATTGGAATGAACATATTGAAGTTAAAAATATTTGCCAATAAAATTACACAGTGCTATGAACAAAGATAAAGAATAAAGAGAGAGTATGGACACAAAAGGTGGAAAAAAACAAACTCCAGAACCAAAAAATGTCAAAACCTAAATGAATCATCAATTTCCTCTCAAAATACTTCTGGGAAGTAAAGTGAAAGTGAAAATCGCTCAGTTGTGTCTGACTCTTTGTGATCCCATAGACTATACAGTCCATGGCATTCTCCAGGCCAGAATACTGGAGTGGGTAGCCTTTCCCTTCTCCAGGGGATCTTTCCAACCCAGGTCTCCTGCATTGCAGGCAGATTCTTTACCAGCTGAGCCACAAGGGAAGCCCAACAATACAGGAGTGCGTAGCCTATCCCTTCTCCAGCGGATCTTCCAGACCCAGGAATCAAACTGGGATCTCCTTTGTTGCAGGTGGATTCTTTACCAACTGAGCTATTAGGGAAGCCCTCTGGGAAGTAAGTATGATATTAACATAAAGACAGAGCTACATGGCTCTGTGTGGACAAAAAAAAAAAAAAAAATTGCCAATGATATGATTGTAGTATTAACTAAAAAACTATTAGGGCCAATAAGAGAATTCTGTAAGGTGGATAATTTCAAAGTTAATGTTGAACTGCATGGGTTCACTTATAGACAGATATTCTTCAACAGTAACTACAAAACGACAAGGTCTGTGGTTGGTTAAATCTGTGGATGTGGAGAAACTGCAAATCCAGAGGGCCTGACTGTAAGTTATACACAGATTAACCCCTGCCTGTTCAAGGATCAACTGCATAATAAAAGGAGAGGTCCCATTTAAAATATTAATAGCAACTAATTTTACCTAGGAGTTAACAATTAATTTGTATGGCCTAAAAGAAGAAAGCTAAAAAGTCATTAGAGGACAGCTGTATAAGTGAAAAGGCATACCTCGTTTTTATTTACTATAATTCAAAGTGTAGACTCAAATCATATTGCACAGATTAAAATCTCAGCATATTTGTATTTTTTGTGGCCTTAGACAAGTTGCTTAATTTGTGAGCCTCAATTTTCTCATCTATGAAACAAAGATAATGGTACCACATAAGGTTATTTTGATTATTGAAACAAGCTCATCCAATAGTCTTGGCATACAGTACCCAACAATGACAGGTATCATCATGTTTATCTCTACTGCTACATACAGCTAGTGACTGGTAAGACTCAATGTTGGAGAACCATGAGTTCTTTTCTAAATTAATGTATAAATTAAGTTCAGTCTCAATAATAATCCCCCCCCCCAATTTAAGAGGAGACATTAAAAAAAAAAGGCCCCTTTTCTTTTTCTCTAGAAAATAAATATGAGCATAGCAAGGAGAATTCTAAAGGAGAAAGTGTAATGAGATATCCCTACCAGATGTTTACAGATGTAGTACAACTGTGGTAATAAAGTACTTGTACCTGTGCAGGAGCAGACTGACAAACAATAGAACAAAAGTGAGAATCATGCTTAGGCGTGTGTAGAAACGGAGTTTAGTGTCTGATGATGTTAAGTATATGATGATGATGACATTTGATTTCTTAGAATATGTGTGGACTTAGTCTCTCAGTCATGTCTGACTCTTGCGACCCCATAGACTATAACCTGCCAGGCTCCTCTGTCCGTGAGATTGTCCAGGCAAGAACACTGGAGTGGGTTGCCATTTCCTTCTCCAGGGTATCTTCCCCAGCCAGGAATCAAACCCAGGTCTCTTGCACTGTAGGCAGACTCTACTGACTGAGTTACGAGGGAAGCTCTGTATCTTAGAATAGATGGATTATTTAATAAATAGTTTTAGAAAACTGGCTGGCTCTATGAAGGAAAAAGAAAAACTGGATTTTCTGCCCAAAATTTAGGCCCAGTAAATTCTAGATTGTTAGTGGAACTATTAAAGTGTTAGAATAATTCACAAGGTCAGTATATTATCTTGGGTATGGGAAAGTAATTTCAAAGCCAAGAAAAATAACAAAATTGACTTTGTAAAGTTTTTAAATTATTCATGACAAAAAACTTTTCTTTAAATAAAATTAATAGATATAACTGGTAAAGATTTGTATTTGCAACACCTGTCAAGGACAAGTTTCCTAGCTATACAGAAATATATTAAAATCAGGAAGAAGAAAGGATAATAACCTAATAAGAATTGGGAAAATAGGAGCATACCATTTATAGGGAGAAAAAAGTGGCAAATGCAACCAATAAAATTTTGAAAAGATTCTTTGCCTTACCTATAAGTGGAAAAAAAGCACATTAAAGCAGAAAGATGCTATTTTAAACAACTATCAGACTTGTGAAAATGAAAAACTTGGTAAACCTAATATTGGATATGTGAGCACTCATACTTGGTGAGTGGAAATGTAAACTTATTATTTGACCCAGGAAATTAACATTAAGAAACATTTCCTAAAGATACATTAGCTGTAAGTATTCACTCTTGAATGTACAGGGATATTAATCAAAGCATTGTGTAGAATTAGCAAATAATAAGACAAAAAGAAGCAAACTAAATGTCCTTTTTATGGTGGACTGGCTAAAGTATAGTAACAGGAATACTAAGAAGTCTTTAACAAGAGTGAGGTAAAAGATTTACATAGGCTGATGTGGAAAGATGAAGGAGATATTAGTGGTCTCCTTATTGTTAGATATTATAAGTCAATCTAAGTATGATCTTCTTTGTGTTTAAAAAAAAACTTTAAAAATATATGTCCATGTTTATATATAAGTAGAAATTTCATCCAAGAATTACACTACCCCCCCAAAAAAACCTGTTAAATAATTGTTGTTTTGGTTTGGGGGAAGGAATTTGGAGGGGGGGAATGAGTAAATTTTGTCATTTTGGTTTACACTCTGCTATATGGTTTAGAATTTTTTTTTCTTTTTACGTGTATATTTGAAAGTTTCAGGCAAACTGAAAGATAAAAATCACTTTGAAGATAGAACATTTTCTAAGTGAAGAGGGTGTTCTCTGTCTAGTTAGTTGTTCCTTATGGCTAATGTGTGTGTATATTCACAGTCATAATACTGGCTTCATGTTAGGTAAGGAAATACTTAGGAATCATAGTAAACTGTATGTTGATCTTATGGGATTCTCGGGGTTTTTTTTTTTTTCTTTTCTTTTTCTGAATCCTGCTTGGCATCATCAGGCTAAATTTGAATTCTAACTGCATGTTCTTTGGTCTCTTTCGCATATCTTGGCTTTTGATACTTTTTTTT